AACAATGGTTCTTTAAAATAATATATGCCTACTGCAAAATATCTGAATGATAAAGAAGATGTAAAAGTAAAACAACTTCACTAATTCTACCTTTCAGAGATAAATACAGTTTTTTTTTTTTTTTTTTTTTTTTTGAGACGGAGTTTCGCTCTTGTTACCCAGGCTGGAGTGCAATGGCGCGATCTCGGCTCACCGCAACCTCCGCCTCCTGGGTTCAGGCAATTCTCCTGCCTCAGCCTCCTGAGTAGCTGGGATTATAGGCACGCGCCACCATGCTCAGCTAATTTTTTTTTGTATTTTTAGTAGAGACGGGGTTTCACCATGTTGACCAGGTTGGTCCCGATCTCTCGACCTTGTGATCCACCCGCCTCGGCCTCCCAAAGTGCTGGGATTACAGGCTTGAGCCACCGCGCCCGGCCTAAGATAAATACAATTATTCTTTTAAATGCTAAGTAGTACTCTATCGTACAGACGTGCCATAATATACTTAAAATTACTTTATTTTGGATATTTAGGTCTTTACTAATTTTCCAGTTACAAACACACTGCAGCAATTATCTTGTAAAAATTAAATAATTTCTTGAGCTTTTTATTTTTCCAAATTGTCAGGAAAGAAGATTCTAATCCTTCTCTTATGTTTCATTTTTAGTACTTCTGCATGTCACTCGTGCCCTCCAATTTCCATACACAGGACATGTCGAAAATGATTGAAACGTAACAAAACATCCAACACATATCAAGAAAGATTTGGGCCGGGCGCGGTGGCTCAAGCCTGTAATCCCAGCACTTTGGGAGGCCGAGGCGGGTGGATCACGTGGTCGAGAGATCGAGACCATCCTGGTCAACATGGTGAAACCCCGTCTCTACTACAAATACAAAAAATTAGCTGGGCATGGTGGCACGTGCCTGTAATCCTAGCTACTCAGGAGGCTGAGGCAGGAGAATTGCCTGAACCCAGGAGGCGGAGGTTGCGGTGAGCCGAGATCGCGCCATTGCACTCCAGCTTGGGTAACAAGAGCGAAACTCTGTCTCAAAAAAAAAAAAAAAAAAGAAAGAAAGAAAGAAAGATTTACTGCTACATTATCTGCGTGTGGGAGAATTATTTAATGCCTCAAAAAGGGGAAAAATACATCTTTTTTTTTTTTTTTTTTTTTGAGACGGAGTTTCGCTCTTGTTGCCCAGGCTGGAGTGCAATGGCGCGATCTCGGCTCACCGCAACCTCCGCCTCCTGGGCTCAGGCAATTCTCCTGCCTCAGCCTCCTAAGTAGCTGGGATTACAGGCACGTGCCACCATGCCCAGCTAGTTTTTTGTATTTTTAGTAGAGACGGGGTTTCACCATGTTGACCAGAATGGTCTCGATCTCTCGACCTCGTGATCCACCCGCCTCGGCCTCCCAAAGTGCTGGGATTACAGGCTTGAGCCACCGCGCCCGGCGAAAAATACATCTTTAAACCTGAATATAGGAAGTGTGAGAAGGAAGAAAAGGCTTGGTTTGGTTTACTGTCTTTAAATTTGAGGATGACTTTAAATTCTGATCGCTCCAGACAATGGTATATATAGTAAGAGCTGGACATTAGAGTCAGTTGGATTTAAGTCCTGACTTTGCTACTTACTAATTAGGTGAACTCACACATAGTATCTGTAAGTCACAATTTTCTCATCTGTAAAATAAGTATAATAATAGTGTCTTAGAGTCTTAGGGAATTGCTAGAATAATCAATGTGATAACACTCAAAATGCTCAGTGCAATGCCTGGCATATTATAATTAATATATACATATAACTTAAGGATGCAGGTTTTGGGGGACAATTCAAATATTTTGCGAGCAATATTTTTGTATTCCTATTATCTTTTTTTTTTTTGAGACGGAGTCTTGCTCTGTCTCCCAGGCTGGATTGCAGTGGCGCGATCCATCTCGGCTCTCTGCAGCGTCCGCCTCCTGGGTTCAGGCGATTCTCCTGCCTCAGCCTCCCGAGTAGCTGGGGTTACAGGCACCTGCCACCATGCCCAGCTAATTTTTTGTTTTTTGTTTTGTTTTGTTTTGTTTTGTTTTGTTTTTTTGAGACGGTTTGTTTCGCTCTTGTTACCCAGGCTGGAGTGCAATGGCGCGATCTCGGCTCACCGCAACCTCCGCCTCCTGGGTTCAGGCAATTCTCCTGCCTCAGCCTCCCGAGTAGCTGGGGTTACAGGCACCTGCCACCATGCCCAGCTAATTTTTTGTATTTTTTGTATTTTATATATTTTTTTGAGACAGTTTCGCTTGTTACCCAGGCTGGAGTGCAATGGCGCGATCTCGGCTCACCGCAACCTCCGCCTCCTGGGTTCAGGCAATTCTCCTGCCTCAGCCTCCTGAGTAGCTGGGATTACAGGCACGCGCCACCATGCCCAGCTAATTTTTTGTGTTTTTAGTAGAGACGGGGTTTCACAATGTTGACCAGGATGGTCTCGATCGTTCGACCTCGTGATCCACCCGCCTCGGCCTCCCAAAGTGCTGGGATTACAGGCTTGAGCCACCGCGCCTGGCAATTTTTTGTATTTTTAGTAGAGACAGGGTTTCGCCATATTGGCCAGGCTGGCCTCCAACTCCTGACCTTGTGATCCGTCTGCCCGGCTTCCCAAAATGCTGGGATTACAGGCGTGGGCCAGCTCCTCGACCTTTGGCTAATTTTTATATTTTTAGTAGAGACAGGGGTTTCACCATGTTGGCCAGGCTGGTTTCGAATTCCTGACCTCAAGTGATTCGCCTGCCTGGGCTTCTCAAGGTGTTGGAATTACAGGCGTGAGCCATAATATGAGGCGCATGGCCTCATATTATCTTATGTTAAATAAAGCAGGGAGTATGCCGAGGCCGTGGCTCATGCCTGTCTGTAATCCCAGAACTTTGGAGGCCTAAGGTGGGAGGATAGTTTAACCCCAGGAATTCAAGACCAACCTGGGCAGCATAGTAAGACCCAGTCTCTATTAAAAGAAAGAAGAAAGGAAGAAAGGAAGGAGGAAGGAAGGAAGGAAGGAAGGACGGAAGAAGGAAAGTAGGGTAGTTTGAGAAAAGTTTAAAAAGCCAGAGTATGGGCTGGGTGTGGTGTTTTACGCCTGTAATCCCAGCACTTTGGGAGGCCCAGGCAGGTGGATCGCGAGGTCAGGAGTTCGAGACCAGCCTGGCCAACATGGTGAAACCCCATCTCTACTAAAAATACAAACATTAGCTGGGCGTGGTGGCCTTCACCTGTAATCTCAGCTACTCCGGAGGCTGAGGCAGGAGAATCGCTTGAACCCGGGAGGCGAAGGTCGCAGTGAGTTAAGATCGCACCACTGTCCTCCGGCCTGGGCGACAGAGCGAAACTCCGTCGGGGTGGGGGTGGGGGGACGGGAAAGCGAGAGTATGAAATATTTAAGAGTTTGGAGCAGAATAATATGATTTCAGGATACGACGGCTGTAAAGGGTAAGCAGGCAGAGCATCAAGGTCCCTTCTTCGCTGAACAAGATTGCAGAAAACAAGGGCCATGCCCAAGTTTGCGAAGCTGGAACGAGGAACAGGACCCAGCTCTCCTGATGTTTACTTCACCGTTACACGCTCACGTTTCGTGTATCCACTCATTGAAGGAGCATTTACTAAATTCCAGGATGATACCAGGGAAACATACAAGCTTCACCCCAGTCTTCGCCTCAAGGCTCGTGATCCTTGAGCAACGATCTGGAGGGAAAGAGAAGCCCATCAGAGGGTCCTGCGGCAGCCGGGGCAGGCTGGCTGTTGACGGAGTTGGAAGAACGGACGCCGGAGCCGGAGCGTCCGCCGGACCTGCCGGTGTGCGGGGCGCACGAGGGAGTCTCCGGCCGGGGAGCGCTGCGTGGTCGGCCCCGGTGGGCGGCGGGGTCTCGGAGCCGCGCAGCCGCAGGCGGGCGCAGGGCGGCGCGGCTGTCCCGGCGGAGCGCACACCGCGCGGCGCGGTCCTCCTTAACCCGCGCGGGGAGGCGGCCGGCGGGCGGGGGCGGGGAGGGGCGGGCGCGCGGCGCGGAGGCCGGGGAGGAGCCGGGGCCTGCAGCGGAGCCGAGCCGAGCCCGAGCCCGCGCCAAGCCCTGACACTGCCCGTCCGCCTTTGCTTCCCCGGGAGCCCGGACCGGCCGCAGCCCGCGCGGTGGCAGCGCGGGGAGCCCCACGCGCCGAAGGGAGCGGGCCGGGCAGGACGGCCCGAGAGGAGGCGCTGCCGCCGCACGAGCGGGGACCGGAGTCTCGAGCCGCGGCCTCCCGGACGGGGCTGCCCAGGCCAGCTCGGGGAGAGCCGGGAGTGCGAAAACCCCACCCTCCGAGGCACCCCGGGAGCGGAGGCGGGAGCGGGGGCGCCAGCAGCCTCTCCCCCTGTCGGAGGAGACCCTGACCTCTGGGGCGAGGGAAAGAAGAGACCCCTGGAGGGGACGCGTCTCTCCTGCCTGGAGGCGAGGAAGACCCCTGTACCAGCCGGGGAGGGGACCCCAGAAGTGGAAAGAGGGGCGCTTTCCTTTGGGAAGCACAGCGAAACCACCCTAGCGCGCCCCAGCCCCTCCGAACACACACTCTCAACAGTTCGAGACTTTGGAGGCAAAGCCAGAGGGGGCTGTGCCTATGGAGTAGGCACCCTCGGCCCACCAGCGTTCACAGGGGACGGGAGTCCTTACGTGCAGAAGCCACTCCAGGGAAAGAAGCGGAATTGGCCTTCAGCTGGAGCGGGGAAGACCTCCCCCTCGACTTCCTCGTACCTAGACGGTGGAACGGGGTAGAGCCCCTCCGCCCAGATCTCCCGCAGGCAGAAAGAGCCCTCCACCCGAGAGCGAGCCAGTTTGGGGGGGAGGAGACAACTCCTGGTTGGGAGAGGCTCCTCCCCTCCTCCCCAGGGTAACAAGCAGGGTGTGGGGGGTGTGCCACCTTCCCCAAGTAGGACCTCCTTCTCCTCCCCCTCCCCCTCCTCCTCATCCTCAGGGGACCCAGTTCCCCTCACCAACTTGGGAGGCTCAGCCAAGTACAGGAAGAGCCACTGAGGATGAGAGCTGTCATCTGCCTCTGAAGAGGGGAATCCCTCCACCCCCAAACTCCAGTACCAGGTGGTTCCCTCCCTTTGCCGGGGGAACCCTGGAGACAGGTTAGTGCTTTCTTTCATCTTCTCTCTGTCATCGTCTGGCACTAGTGGGTGCCGGGGGCCGAGATGGTGGATCGTGGGTTTCACGAGTGGGGATGATAGAGTGATGACTCAGAAAATCCACTGGGAAATGTGTTCCAAGGGAGCTGCTGGATTTGAACCCACATCTTGCTGCAGAGGCTCTGAGAAATGGCTTTCTTAGTGTTTGGGGACTAAAGGGATGGGATTGATTTTAGGTACCTAGAGAACTGGGTGTTTTCATGCTGAGGAAAAGGGATATCAGAAAACGGCCACATTTTGAGAACATGCATACTGCGTAGCAGTGATTTGCACAGCCCAACCAATGGTAAGACTCCCATAGCACGCTTCACCTTGGGCCTTTTCACCTGGAGAGTGGGCTCTCATCAAAGTTATGGTGGCATCTGGTGTCCTGGCCTTGCCCAGGGCATGCGGAGGTCAGCCTCGCATTGGCCAGAGGTGTTCGTTCCGTCCAGCTTACTCCCTTGACAAGAAAGGCAATCTGTTCCAACTCATCCTATCTCCGACACCAGGAGGCCTCCTCTCCTGACATTTCCATTCCTAGCTGGATGTATGCCTCTGCCCGTTAAATCCAAAGGGAAAATGGGAATCCCACATGTGCTGAGGCAAGAAGAAAGTGTGCAGGGGAATGCCAACTCCTGGGTTGAAATGCTTCCTTGACGCTGCCCGGGTGTCTTCTCCACTCCTGTTTTCTGCTCACAATTCTTCAGGGAAAATTAGAGCCTGGATACGAAGGGGAGAGGGCTGCTGCCCCGCTTCTGTCCCCTTCCATCGAAATAAGTTGACCACTGAGAAGATGTGACTTTTGAGGAGTATATAAAATTTCCTTCCAGAAAAGTACCTAAGAGTCTTATCCTCTCCCTTCCTGTTTCTTGTTGAGTTCTGAGTCTCCGGAGCCCTGTGTTAAAAGTTTTCTTTCCTAATTTAGGGAATTATCAAAGTCCAGCATCTTCAGAAAAGGCAGGAAAAGGGTACCAGGAAATCCTCCCTGTGAAGGCTGGGCTGTTTTTAGGAGAGGTCACTAGCTGGGTGTCTGCTTTCCTGCCTCTCCATTAGCAGATACCCTGTCTTCTTTCTCACAGCAAGGCCAAGTTGTGAAGGAGGCTTCATCTGACTTGGGTTTTCATATTGTCTCCTCTCTCTGGGGCGTGGGTGAGGTCTGCCTAAGTTCCTGAGTACATTCACCTGTCCTGGAAGTCACCTGTTCATGTGATATATGAGATAGGGCACAGGTCTGCGTGGTTGTGCTGTAGGACAGCATGCACATACTTCTTAATTCAGGTGAGTGTGGCTCTCTGTTTCGAGTGTGTATGTGTGTGGAGACAGGTACTTACGTGCTTTTCAGACTATACTTCAGTTACCTAGAATGGTATGTTTCTGGTGAGCCTTTAGAAGCAGGTGCCCCTGGGCAAGGACATGGAGAGGTGGTGGTAAGGATGCCCACCTGAGGAGAAAGGCTCGGGCTCCCCCGGCCAGTGGGAGCCCTCATGACTGTCTACAGGACAGTCCTTTAAGCAGCAGGGAAGCCCAGTCTCCGGTTGGGATCATTTCTTCTCGGACCAATAAGAGAGCTTCACTGCTGATACCTCTAGTCTCAAAAGGATGAGGATCCTTGACTCCTAACTCCAGAACTCCCTCCCCCACCTTTTACAAAAGAGGCCACTCTAGTTAACAGCAGCCTGTTTCTTTCAAAGTACTTCACCAGATGCTGGCGCGCACCTGCCTGAATGGCTCAGGGTGAACTGGATCACACCTCCAAGCCCACCACGACCGTGCAATTTAACTGGCCCTGCCTGCACTGAGTTCCCTAACCCTCCTTGCCTCTCGAATCAGTTAGAAGCCGGTGGCTACTGGGAGGGATTAACTGTGGTTTAGAGACTGTGCTTTCCCAAAGCATGCCTTAAACCTAGTTCTCCTGGAAGATAAGAGATGATGGTCCCCCAGTCCTTCATTCTTGGAGTCTTCCTCCTCCTAGCATTAGCCAATACTGGACGATATATATATTTTTTGAGACGGAGTTTCGCTCTTGTTACCCAGGCTGGAGTGCAATGGTGCGATCTCGGCTCACCGCAACCTCCGCCTCCCGGGTTCAGGCAATTCTCCTGCCTCAGCCTCCTGAGTAGCTGGGATTACAGGCACGTGCCACCACGCCCAGCTAATGTTTTGTATTTTTAGTAGAGACGGGGTTTCACCATGTTGACCGGGATGGTCTCGATCTCTTGACCTCGTGATCCACCCACCTCGGCCCCCCAAAGTGCTGGGATTACAGGCGTGAGCCACCGCGCCCGGCAATACTGGATGATATTATCTCCAAAGGAAACGTTTGAGAGTCTGACATTCTGAAAACCACTGCGGACTCAGAGCAGGCTTTGGAATGCAAACCACTGCAGGCTTGCAGCTTCCTCTCTTATATCTATAGTCTGTCAGTTTGCTAATTTTTAATTTCGAATGCTCTCTTTTTTCCCCTAGTCAAAAACTATAGCTACTTAAATAGCACTTAGTAAGTGCTCTAAAAATATTAACTGAAGGTCATCCTTACAACAATCAAAATAGTGGAGCTGGGATTGAAACCCTGGCAGCCTAACTCCTCAGGTGCTCCACCTAGCCACTGCCCTCTTCGTTCTGACATTCTGTACGGGGCAGGAAGTTATCACACCTTAATACCTGCCATTGGCGTTGGAACAATTAGTAGCCTTTCAGATAAAATGGGAAGAAAACTGAGCCTGTTATTGTGGATCTTACATGTTTCATCCAGGAGCCGTCTCTCACTCCCAGAATGTCTGTCTGTCTGTTTTTCTCTGCCTTTCTCCCAGTTATGTAGTCTTCATTAGACGTCCTGGGGATGTGATGGAGCCTGCCCTTTGGCTGCCTTTCCCAGCTTCTATGGGTATTTCCTTTTAGTCTTCCAGCACACACAGAAGAATGTGGCCTGACTCAGGTTCTGCCCAAGCCCCGTGGCACGAGGCCCACCTGGAGAGAGAGGTCTGGGTAACTAGGTTGGTTGGACTGAGACATGGAAGTACCTCTTGTTTGCTTTTCTAATAATAGCCCTGAACATTAGCCTCATGCCATTATTTTGGGGAGCGTGGAATGCGTGGCAGCCGCAAGCTTATTAAGCTTCATTCACTTCCCTGCAGGGACGATGCTTTGGCAGGGTTTATTAGTTCATCTCTTTTATTGGAGGGGAAAACTGAGGCCTCAAGACTTCATTGGGGGCCGGGCATGGTGGTTTATGCCTGTAATCCCAGCACTTTGGGAGGCCGAGACAGGCGGATCACCTGAGATCAGGAGTTCAAGACCAGCCTGGTCAACATGGTGAAACCCCATCTCTACTAAAAATATAAAAACTAGCCAGGCATGGTGATACCTGCCTTTAATCCCAGCTACTCAGGAGGCTGAGGCAGGAAAATTGCTTGAACCTGAGAGGCGGAGGTTGCAGTCAGCCAAGATTATGCCAGTGCACTCCAGCCTGGGCTACAGAACAAGGCTTCGTCTACAAAAAAAAAAAAAAAAAAAAAAAAAAAAAAGACTTCATTGTGGAGGCAAGGGATGGTTGGGGACAGTCCAGGAGGATTTGATTTGGAATAGAACCAAGGAACCTCAGTCTCTGTGGCTCTCCATGGTGGGCTGCCCTTCACAAACTGGGAAGTGAAGCGGGTGAGGAAGTGGGATGGGTTAAAGGAGAATGGTGCTGAAAGATCAGAAGGATCAGATGCTACAAGCTGCTTGTCGCTGGTGAGATTTGAATGTATTTTGAGTGCTGGGGCTGTATCTGGAGAGCTGACTGGAAAGGGCCTGGAGACAGGTTAAATTTAACCTCAGGGTCCTAACCTGGTGCTGGGATAAGGGTAGGGAAGGGCATAGAACAGCTTGCAAAGGGCTGACGGTGCTTCCCTTTCAGGAACTCACTGTGATTGGCATGTGCCAAATGGGTTCTGTAAACCTCTAAACACTTTAAATCCACTCTCATGCCCCTGCCCAATGTTGGAAAAGTTGTTTCAAATGAAATATCAACTGAAGGCCTCTGTGCTCTTAAGATGAGATTTCCTAGGGATCTTTAGTAGGAGATAATAGGGAATAGGGCAGAGCTAATTTAGGGACCTCCCATCTGGGGAGGACCCAGGAGGACCCTGGTCGTTGTAAACCTGCTCACCAGCGTGCCACTCTTTAGCCCGGATGACCCAGCTGCAGGACTGTGATCCTGCTACAGGCACCCTGCGATAGTCCAGGGACTGTGATGTTTTGACTTAGCAGTATTGGAAGGTGTGAGGTTCCTGGAATGATGAAGTGCTCCTGTTAGTTTCCATGTTCCCATGGTTTAGGGCAAGGTGGTAGTGGGGTGAAGAGGAAGATGGTAGGAGAGAAGCTGAGGATAAAGAGGAAACCCTTCATGATGCTATTTATAGACAGGCCATCTCCCTTCCCCCGCCCCTTTTCTTCTGTCAGACAATTCTTGGGTCACAGTTGGGTCTCTTGCCGCCCCGGCCTCTGAGGCACTAAGGTGTTTCCTTCAGGCTTGTGGAGGGCGTGTGTTGCTGGTTAGGAGCACAGGGCTGGGTACGTGTGCACACATGCAGATTGCCATCTGCGTGGGTGGGATCTTAGGGAGAGGGGAGTAAGTGAGAATGTTGACCCCCTAGGAGAACGGGCTAAGGGTTAAGGGGAGAAGAATCACTACCTAGGATAGAAGAGGGAGCTGAGACCCTGAGGAGAGGGGGTGGGGGACATGCTCCTATCCGCTGTCGAGCTTTGGACTGCAAAATGTGCGGATCTGTTGTATTTGTATGTATACGCTCGTGCATATATCTGGCTGTGGATTTACAGATCACTTGCATCCTGTGTTTCTGTTCAGGATTCTGAACTTTGAAGCAATCTAGTCCTGGCTCCTCAGGAGAAATGCCCTGGTGGGACCGAGGAAGACAGTGTTAGCTGGAACCTGGCGGCTGTGCAGGCACAAACAAGTGCTTAGGGGGTTGCTGGCATCAGCGCTATGGGAGTGCCAAATGGCTACCTAGGGGTTCCTGCCAGCCTCTCTAGACCCTGAAATTCAGATATCACCCATCATTCTTCACCTTCCCCCACCAAGACGTCGCTGTAGCTATACCTCTCTGCTGGCAAGAGCGCCAGGCAGTGTGGGTGGCAGCAGGGTGTGCAAACATCAGGCGTAGGCGGTCTGGCAGCTCCAGGAGTTTGCATGGAGGTGCAGTGAGTGTGCCTGCCTGGCTGGGAAGGAAGGAGGGAGGAGGAGGGTGGAGAAGGGGAGCCAGCTCGAGCCCCAGAGTGGCTATTTTTAGCCAGGCTATCTGATTGTAACCGGTAGGCACACAGCTGGGTGTCTCCCTGGCTCAGTGAAGCCCAGCAGGCTGAGAGGTGGGAGGTGCCTGTGGATGACTTCTTCCTGGTGTTGGTGTCTGTGGGCGGGAGCATGCAAGGGCTAGCTTTAAAAGCGTGAGGGCAGCTGTGAACTCAGGATGTGTTACTTCTGTGTGTGACTTTGTGCTCTGGTGGTGATGTCTGCTGTATACGTCGTCGTGATCTCGGTGTATGTGCTTCACTGTTTATGTGTCTGTCTGCTGGTTGTCATATATAATTTATGCCTGGGATAGATCTAATATGCCTCAGGTGCACCTGTGTGTGGGTTAAAAAGGGCAGGCGCTCATGTCTAATATGAAACCTGCTTAAAAGTGTTGGTGTGTGCCTCATCCGTGTATGTTTGTATTTTGGTAGACTTTTTCTTTATTTGTACATTCATGCCATCGGAGAATGGGCTTTAACTAATTTTATCTGCTGTCTACATGGATTTAAAAAAAAACCTAATTCCTACACAGTTTAAAAATACTATGTTGTAGGGCTCTAAGGAAGGTGAATTGAGGAAATGGCTCGATCTGGTGTGAAGGTTGATCTCAGAGGCTTCCTGGCCGTGCTCCCCATTAAGTTGTGGGATAACTAGCACTCATCATCTGGTAGATAGACCTGCTTGGGGGTTCTGGGAACACCCGGTGGAAGGCCATGCCATGGGTCTCTCATGGGAATGCGGGTGGAAAGAAACTTACTTCCCTCAAACAAAAGGATTCGAGTATTACTTGCCTCCAGTATTTTCGTGGCCTCTTTGTCTTCTCTGCAGAACCCAGAAGTACCATGGCTTCTGACCTGGAGAGCAGCCTCACCTCCATAGACTGGCTCCCCCAGCTGACCCTCCGAGCTACCATTGAGAAGCTGGGAAGTGCTTCCCAGGCTGGGCCTCCCGGGAGCAGCCGCAAGTGTTCACCAGGCTCTCCCACAGATCCTAATGCCACCCTTAGCAAAGACGAGGCAGCAGTTCACCAGGACGGCAAGCCACGGTACAGCTATGCCACCCTCATCACCTATGCCATCAACTCCTCTCCAGCCAAGAAGATGACCCTCAGCGAGATTTACCGCTGGATCTGCGATAACTTTCCCTATTACAGGAACGCTGGCATCGGCTGGAAGGTGGGGATGCCTCCAAAATCTTGGCTTAGGTTTAACCTTCAACAGCCTTTTTCTTTGCTTTCGTTTCTTTCTGTAACCTGTTCAGTTTACTCTGGCTTGTCTCAGAGATGTGAAAATTTAAAATCTCATATGTTCTGCCCCGTACTTTTTTTCAGAGTTGAACAACTTTTTTTTTTTTTTTGAGACGGAGTTTCACTCTTGTTACTCAGACTGGAGTGCAATGGCGCGATCTCGGCTCACTGCAACCTCCGCCTCCTGGGTTCAGGCAATTCTCCTGCCTCAGCCTCCTGAGTAGCTGGGATTACAGGCACGTGCCACCATGCCCAGCTAATTTTTTGTATTTTTAGTAGAGACGGGGTTTCACCATGTTGACCAGGATGATCTCGATCTCTCGACCTCGTGATCCACCCGCCTTGGCCTCCCAAAGTGCTGGGATTACAGGCTTGAGGCACCGCGCCCGGCTTTTTTTTCTTTTTTTTTAAGATGGGGTTTCACCATGATGGCCAGGCTGGTCTTGAACTCCTGACCTCAGGTGATCTACCCAGCTCAGCCTCCCAAAGTGCTAGGATTACAGGCATGAGCCACCGCGCCCGGCTGAACAACTTTTGTAAGGTATACTAGGGAAACGCCAAACCGTTAAGTATAGTGATGGGGATGGGAGGATGCTGCTGCTCGTCACACCCTCTTATCTTCCCATCCCTCAAAGAGGATATTCATTCATTTCACAAATGTTTATTGCCGTTCTGCGAAGTTCAAGTCACTGTACAAGGCATGGCATCACCCCTGCTTCCCTAGAGGTAGGAATCTAATCTAGATTGTCAGATTTCCATCGCTCCATTTCACAGTCATCATCTTCTGAAAAGCAGCGTTCCAAGAAAAATAATAATACAATTAGGTTCTTTACCAACAGCTGGCTACCAAGCAAGTAAGGAGAAGTTAAGTTGTTTGGCTGGAGATGAAAAAGGAAGGGGTTCCTCTCCCAGGCAAAGAAGGAAGGCCGATGTGCTCAGTTTTTGGGAGCAGCGGCTCATTTGTCAATTGTTGAGTAGGAATGGGAACTAATATGTCGTTCTCTCCCTCTGTAAATCACCAGTTGACATACAAACCATGTCATGAGTTGGAGACTATTGAACGCATTCAGTTTTTCTTTCTTTCTCTCTTTCCTTCTGTCTCTCTTTCTTTCAGCAGCGTCTTGCTCTGTCACCCAGGTTGGATTGTAGTGGTGCAATCATGGCTCACTACAGCTTGAACCTGGGCTCAAGCAATCCTACTTCAGCCTCCTGAATAGCTGGGACTACAGGCATGCACCACCATGCACAGGAAATTTTTTTATTTTTGTAGAAATGGGTCTCACTATGTTGCCCAGGCTGGTCAAGCTCCTAGACTCAAGTGATCCTTCCATCTTGGCCTCCCAAGATGCTGGAATTATAGGCATGAGCCATTGCACCTGGCCTATTGAGCTTTCTCTTTGTAAATATGTCCCCGCTAGCTACCATAACCCCCAACCTCACCCAACACACTGTTTTTTGTTTTTTTTTTTTTTTTTGAGAAAAGAGTTTTGCTCGTTTCCTAGGCTGGAGTGCAGTGGCACGATCTTGGCTCACTGCAACCTTCGCCTCCCAGGTTCAAGTGATTCTCTTACCTCAGCTCCCAAGTAGCTGGGATTACAGACATGTGCCACCACACCCAGCTAATTTTATATTTTTAGTAGAGACGGGGTTTCTCCATGTTGGAAGGGCTGGTCTCGAACTCGTGACCTCAGGTGATCCACCCACCTCGGCCTCCCAAAGTGCTAGGATTACAGGTGTGAGCCACCATGCCCGGCCCAAGCACACTTATACAATATTTCTTTCCTTCAAATGTGAACATTCTATGAACTATTGAGAAAATGAAAGTGATCTGTGTTTTTTTTTCATTAATAAATTATATAAATAGTTGTAAAGCATCGTTCTTTTGGTGTCAGGGTAGACTGAAGAACTGGGCAGATGTGATTGTGAGGCATTTGTATACTTGTCAGTTGGCTAGATTGAAAAACTATATAATCAGTTTTTCAGAAGTGGTAGTAATCAAATTTATAGCCATTCCCTCCCATCAGTTTAATCTCTGCTCACTCGCTCCTTCCTTCCTTCCTTCTCTGTCTCTGTCTCTGTCTCTCTTTCTCCCTTTTTTGGAGTTTTGCTCTTGTTGCCCAGGCTGGAGTGCAGTGGTGCGATCTCTCAGCTTACTGCAGCCTCTGCCTCCTGGGTTCAAACTATTCTCCTATCTCAGCCTCCTGAGTAACTGGGATCACAGGCTTGTGCTACCACGTCCGGCTAAGTTTTTTTTTTTTTTTTTTTTTGAGACGGAGTTTCGCTCTTGTTACCCAGGCTGGAGTGCAATGGCGCGATCTCGGCTCACCGCAACCTCCGCCTCCTGGGTTCAGGCAATTCTCCTGCCTCAGCCTCCTGAGTAGCTGGGATTACAGGCACACGCTATCATGCCCAGCTAATTTTTTGTGTTTTCAGTAGAGACGGGGTTTCACCATGTTGACCAGGATGGTCTCGATCTCTTGACCTCATGATCCACCCGCCTCGGCCTCCCAAAGTGCTGGGATTACAGGCGTGAGCCACCACGCCCAGCCTACACACCCGGCTAATTATATATTTTTAGTAGAGACAGAATTTTACCATGGTGGTCAGGGTGGTCTCGAACTCCCAACGTCAGGCGATCTGCCCGTCTCAGCCTCCCGGAGTGCTGGGATTACAGATGTGAGCCACCACGCCAGGCCTGCATTTTTCTTATCTCATTGCTTTTTGCTATTTGATGCATAATTCTCTCCATCAGTGTAGTTAAGAGGTGCTAAGTTTACCCTGACGGTTGAACTCCATGATGTATTATGTTTTTTGTGTGTCCCTCTGTGTTCTGTTGGAAAATGTTCTGCTCTGCACAGTGCTCAGGTCTAACTTGATTCTCTGCATCCCCAGAATTCAATACGGCACAACCTTTCTCTCAACAAGTGCTTCCGGAAGGTGCCCAGACCTCGGGATGACCCTGGGAAGGTGAGATACTGCTGTAAGCATTGAGGGGAGGAGCAGGAAGGAGAGTGAAGTAGTTGATGGTCCAGAGTCCTGCGGCTGTTTTAATTATCCAGAAGAGGAAATAATTAGAGAAGCATCTTTATTTTTTCTCAGAGGAAGAGCTTGGTTGTCAAGCTTGTGGGCCCCCAGTAGAATGGGTGACTAAGAAAGACCGTGAGACCGGGCGTGGTGGCTCACGCCTGTAATCCCAGCACTTTGGGAGGCTGAGGCGGGTGGATCATCTGAGATCAGGAGTTCAAAACTAGCCTGGCCAACATGGTCAAACCTTGTCTCCACTAAAAATACAAAAAATTTGCCGGGTGTGATGGCGCGTGCCTGTTATCTCAGCTACTTGGGAGGCTGAGACAGGAGAATTGCTTGAACCTGGGAGGCGGAGGTTGCAGTGAGCTGAGATTGCTCCATTGCACTCCAGCCTGGACAAGAGTGAAACTCCATCTCAAAAAGAAAAAAAAAGGAAAAAGACCGTGAAATCTTTTCTTAAAAAAATAGAGGCCGGGCGCGGTGACTCACGCCTATAATCCCAGCACTTTGGGAGGCCGAGGCCGGTGGATCATGAGGTCAAGAGATCAAGACCATCCTGGTCAACATGGTGAAACCCCGTCACTACTAAAAATACAAAAAATTAGCTGGGCATGGTGGCGCGTGCCTGTAATCCCAGCTACTCAGGAGGCTGAGGCAGGAGAATTGCCTGAACCCAGGAGGCGGAGGTTGCGGTGAGCCGAGATCGCGCCATTGCACTCCAGCCTGGGTAACAAGAGCGAAACTCCGTTTCCAAAAAAAAAAAAAAAAGAAATACTTAGGGGTAAAGTTGACTTTCCTGCTCCCTCTTTTTTGTGTGGCACTCTTTTTTTTCCTAGATGTAAAAGGTAGACTTAATAACCTTTGTAGAAATGTCTCTAAACAAAAGGCCCTGGTGTTTCCCCCATAAAAGAGAAGGGATGGATCATTCTCTCCATTTGACGGAGGTGGATGCTAAAGTCCAAGCAAGTTTTGCCTCAGGTCAGAAGGGAAGGGAGAGGCTGTGTCTGGACATCGTCAGCTCTTTGAGCTAGATGCCATTGTTCTGCCCCTCCAAAACAGTCGAGGCCTGTGTTTGGGCCACGGGAGTACCTCTGGCATACTCAGTGAGTTTCTAGGACAGATTTGCTCTTCATTAATACCCAGAACCCTGGGAGGTACTGAATGTAATGATTTTGTTCTCTGTGGGGATGGGATCTCCTTCCAGGGTTCCTACTGGACAATCGATACCTGCCCTGACATCTCCCGAAAGAGAAGACACCCTCCAGATGATGACGTAAGTTCCCAGCTCCTGGAGAGATGCCACATCTGAGCCAGCTGCTCCTTCCACCTTTTCTTGTGACTGTGCAGTCCTTTGGGAGGCAAAGGTGGAAGGAATACCAGCAGAGGGGAAACCATGGGTCTTGGGAGGATGTTGTGCCTCTGCTTATAGATTTCTTTTTCTTCACAACCCTCAGCTGTCCCAAGACTCACCGGAACAGGAGGCAAGTAAGAGCCCACGGGGAGGCATGCCAGGGAGCGGAGAAGCCTCGCTGCCTCCCGAGGGGAATCCGCAGATGTCACTTCAGAGCCCCGCATCTATTGCTAGCTACAGCCAGGTAGGAAGCAGATACGGCAGGGGTCATGGGATGGGTGGTGAATAGATTCATATGTCTGCCTGTTCATTCAGAATTACGTATTGAGTATCTGTGATATATGAGGCAGGTAAATTGAGAAAGAAGGGGAAAGCAAAACTGGGAAATAGAGAAATAGAGAGAAAAGCATAGCAGAACTTTGAGAAAGATCAGGGAAAAAAGGCTGGGCGCAGTGACTCATGCCTGTAATCCCAACACTTTGGGAGGGCGAGGCAGATGGATCATTGAGTCCAGGAGCTTGAGACCAGGCTAGCCAACATGGCAAAACCCCATCTCTACTAAAAATACAAAAATTAGCTGGGCATGGTGGCTTACAGCTGTAGTCCCTGCTACTTGGGAGGCTGAGGCACAAGAATCACTTGAACCTGGGAGGTGGAGGTTGCTGTGAGCTGAAATCACGGCATCACACTCCAGCCTGGGTGACAGAGTGACACCCTGCCTCAGAAACAAACAAACGAAAAGAAGAAATGGAGACGGAGGAGAGAAAGAGGGTAGATTTAAGATAAGAATCAATGAGAAAAGAAGGAGAGCCGGGCGCGGTGGCTCAAGCCTGTAATCCCAGCACTTTGGGAGGCTGAGGCGGGCGGATCACGAGGTCGAGAGATCGAGACCATCCTGGTCAACATGGTGAAACGCCGTCTCTACTAAAAATACAAAAAACTAGCTGGGCATGGTGGTGCGTGCCTGTAATCCCAGCTACTCAGGAGGCTGAGGCAGGAGAATTGCCTGAACCCGGGAGGCGGAGGTTGCGGTGAGCCGAGATCGCGCCATTGCACACCAGCCTGGGTAACAAGAGCGAAACTCCGTCTCAAAAAAAAAAAAAAAAAAAAAGAGAAAAGAAGGAGAGAATGATGTTGGGTTAGTGAAGAGCTAGGAGAGGACAAGAGATCAGGCAGGAGAGCCTGGTGACCACTGAAGGGTTGTATTGGTGCCTCAGCTGGGACACCCATCAGGAATTTCTTACCTGTTTTTGCAGGGCACAGGATCTGTGGATGATGGAGCAGTGGCAGCAGGGGCTTCAGGCCGAGAAAGTGCTGAGGGTCCTCCTCCCCTCTATAACACCAACCATGACTTTAAATTCTCCTACTCAGAGATCAACTTTCAGGATCTAAGCTGGTCCTTCCGCAACCTCTATAAATCCATGCTGGAGAAGTCCTCTTCCTCCTCTCAGCACGGTGAGTCTGGAGTTGGGATGGGTGCCTGGAGACTTTTTTATCTTGTTGAACAAGTGGTGATGTTTTTTTTGTGTGTGTGACAGGGTCTCACTCTGTTGACCAGACTGGAGTGCAGTGGTGCGATCATGGCTCACTGCAACCTCTGGCTCCTGGGTTCAAGTGATTCTTTCACCTCAACCTCCCAAGTAGCTGGGAGTACAGGCACGTGCCACTACGCCCGGCTAATTTTTGTAGTTTTAGTAGAGACAGGGTTTCACCATGTTGGCCAGGCTGGATTTGAACAACTGGCCTCAAGGCATTCACCTGCCTTGGCCTCCCAAGGTGCTGGGATTATAGGTGTGAGCCATCATGCCTGGCCATATTTCTCTTTCTTTCTTTTCAGTTCATTTCTTTTCTTTTCTTTCTTTTCGGCAGAGTTTTGCTGTTTTTTGCCCAGGCTGGAGAGCAGTGTCGAGATCTTGGTTCACTGCAACCTCCACCTCCTGGGTTCAAGTGATTCTGCTATCTCAGCCTCCTGAGTAGTTGGGATTACAGGTGCCCGCCACCATGCCCAGCTAATTTTTGTATTTTTTTGGTACAAATGGGATTTCACCATGTTGGCCAGGCTGGTCTCGAATTCCTGACCTCAGGTGATCAGCCCTCCTTGGCCTCCCAAAATGCTGGGATTACAGGTGTGAACCACTGCGCCTGGCCCATATTTCTTATTTTTAACACAAAGAGAGGTATCACTACTCAGAGGAAATATTTCATGAACTAAAACTGTTTGGAGCCGAGTGAGCTCATCTGTCCTTGTGCAAATACAGCTGTTTCAGGAGGCAAGCTAGGTTATTTGCCTCAGAAAGTCAGTTGGAGGATTGCCCCTTCCAGAACTAATGGCAGTGATTTTTTTTTTTTTTTTTTTGAGACAGAGTTTCACTCTTGTTACCCAGGCTGGAGTGCCATGGCGCGATCTCGGCTAACCGCAACCTCCGCCTCCTGGACTCAGGCAATTCTTCTGCCTCAGCCTCCTGAGTAGCTGGGATTACAGGCACGTGCCACCATGCCCAGCTTATTTTTGTATTTTTAGTAGAGACGGGGTTTCACCATGTTGACCAGGATGGTCTCGATCTCTTAACCTCGTGATCCACCCTCCTCGGCCTCCCAAAGTGCTGGGATTACAGGCTTGAGCCACCGCGCCCGGCCGGTAGTGATTTTATGGCTGCAAGCGAGTCATTTGGAGGATGACCACTAGGGGGCAGTAGCAGCAGCAGTACCCTCTCCCCAGGAATCCCTGCGTTTCATTGTGAAAAGTTTCTTTTGACTTTTTAGTGTATTTATATTTATGTTACTTTTACTGTGAAAAATTGCAAACAGACGCAAAAGTGTGGAGAAAAAGATAATAAACCCCTGTGTTCCATCACCCAACTTTAACAGTTGTTAGTATTTTACTAGGCTTGTTTTGTTTACCACTGAGCCTTCTAAAAATTGGAGTAATTTAATGGAATTCACATAAACCATGTCATTCCACCCATAAATACAATTTTGATATATATCTCTAAATGATGACTTTTCTTCTGGTTGTGTACTATGACCTTATCACTCCTAACATAATTGACTATACAGTCTTAATATCAGCTAGTATCTTGTCCCTGCACATTTCCCTAATTATCATGTGAGAATGAATTAAAGTTTTTATTGAGAAACCTTTTTTTTTTTTTTTAAATTAAATAAAAAGATGGGGTTCCACCATAATGGCCAGGCTGGTCTTGAACTCCTGGCTTCAGGTGATCCACCCACCTTGGCCTCCCAAAGTGCTAGGATTACAGGCGTGAGCCACTGCACCCGGCTATTGGGAAGCCTCTTGAGAGAACATCTGGTTCATCCCTCTGCAGTTCCTGGTGTTCATTTTTTTTTTGAGACGGAGTTTCGCTCTTGTTACCCAGGCTGGAGTGCAATGGCGCAATCTCTGCTCACTGCAACCTCCGCCTCCTGGGTTCAGGCAATTCTCCTGCCTCAGCCTCCTGAGTAGCTGGGATTACAGGCACGTGCCACCACACCCGGCTAATTTTTTGTATTTTTAGTAGAAACGGGGTTTCACCATGTTGACCAGGATGGTCTTGATCTCTTGACCTCGTGATCCACCCGCCTCGGCCTCCCAAAGTGCTGGGATTACAGGCGTGAGCCACCGCACCCGGCCCTGGTGTGCATTTTTAAAATAACGTAGAGACGTCTAAGGTTGTGAAGTTGACTTCAGGTGAGGAATTGGACCTTCTCGTTCTGTGCAGTGGCTCTTTATTGGCAGCAGGGCTGAATGGAATGTTAAAAACTGGTTAGGAGTCACTTTTTGGAAAACTTTTCTTAATCTTCATGAATTTCTTCTTGTATTTCCCAGGGGATCAGTTTCTAAAGTTATGTTCCAAGACTGTAGCATTTGCTTGAGAAATAAATCCAACCCAGGTGGTTGGTTAATTGGAGGTAGGAACTCGAGAAACTGTCAGAAATAAAGTAAAAAATTAGATCGAGTGAGGACAGGCTAGCATTCACTCAAGTTTTATTGTGACTGAAAGACCCTAGGCTTAGACTTTTGTTCTTTCCGGCCTGTCTGCTTGAGAGAGAACTCCGTCCCAAATCTGTGCTCCTCAGTCAAGCTGCATTTGTTTGTAGAGAATACAGGAAGGAGTTGGCAGTAGCAGCGTGTGGAGAAAATACGGAAGAGGAGTTTGTTTTGTTTCTGATTTCTTTTTTTTTTCTTCCCCTAAACACTAGATGACCAGGGATGGTTTCCTTTTGAAAGTTCACCTGCTGGGAAACTGATTTCAGGCCTACACCCAAATCTCTGAGAAGTAGCCTTAAAAGCTGCACACTGACCTTTTTAGTAAGATTTCAGTGGTTTCCACACTGTCAGGGCCCTCCTCTAATCTAAGTGCCTTTTCATCTCTTGTACCTGCCAGGAGGACCACAGGGATCCTTGCTGCCCTAAAACATTCTTATCCTTTTAACTCCGCAGTTTCGGTCTGAGACTTCCCATCTCAACCAGGGAAAATCCCATTTTGTGAAAAACACATTGCCTAAGTCACTTGCCTGCTTCTTCCCCACGTGCAGGCTTTTCGTCTCTCCTGGGGGACCTGCCACCCTCCAACAACTACTACATGTATCAGCAGCAGCAGCCACCGCCACCTCAGCAGCAGCAGCAGCCGCCGCCACAGCCACCGCCCCAGCAATCCCAGCCGCCGCAGCAGCAGGCACCTGCCCAGGGCCCCTCCGCTGTAGGGGGTGCTCCTCCACTGCACACCCCAAGCCCAGATGGTTGTACCCCACCAGGGGGAAAGCAAGCTGGGGCGGAAGGCTATGGGCCTCCCCCGGTGATGGCCATGCATCCACCCCCACTGCAGCATGGAGGCTACCACCCTCATCAGCACCATACCCACTCCCACCCTGCCCAGCAGCCCCCACCTCCACAGCCACAGGCACAAGGCCAGGCTCCCATCAACAGCACTGGCTTTGGTGAGTATGGAGGTGCAGAGTGATCTAGAGGAGGGTTGGATGATGCGCTTGTTCTAACTCTGGCATGGAGGTGCAGTTAGTTGGCAAGTTAATGGTGGGTCTTTTTTTTTTTTTTTTTTTTTTTTTGAGACGGAGTTTCGCTCTTGTTACCCAGGCTGGAGTGCAATGGCACGATCTCGGCTCACCGCAACCTCCGCCTCCTGGGTTCAGGCAATTCTCCTGCCTCAGCCTCCTGAGTAGCTGAGATTACAGGCACGAGCCACCATGCCCAGCTAATTTTTTTGTGTTTTTAGTAGAGACAGGGTTTCACCATGTTGACCAGGATGGTCTCGATCTCTCGACCTCGTGATCCACCCGCCTCGGCCTCCCAAAGTGCTGGGATTACAGGCTTGAGCCACCGCGCCCAGCGCAATGGTGGGTCTTTTAAGCTCGCTCCCTCATGTGAGCTCATCTGAACAAAGTTACTATTTAGGGCTCTGTCTTAGAGAATTCTTGGATCAATTGACATTGTTTTGCATGTTCTCCTGACTATGAGGCTGGCTGTACCCAAAGCATAGATAGCTTTTCCAGTCCTAAACCCCCAGGGAGGGAGAGTCCAAAACTTGGAAATGCAACTGATAATCTGTATAGATGCAAGAATCTTGCACGTCGTTAGTCTGGGGTTAGTTGATGCTGTCTTACACCTCACTCTGTCATCTTACCCACTTTCCCCTCTTCTTCACAGCCTTTCCTTCTGACTGGTGCTCTAATATTGACTCTTTAAAGGAAAGCTTCAAGATGGTGAATCGACTCAATTGGTCCAGCATTGAGCAGTCACAGTTCTCAGGTTCGTGATCAAAGGAGGAAGGGAAAACCCAGTAGAAATTAGAACCGGAAGAGGGTGGTTACATGAAGTTCAGGAATTCAGGATTTCATTGTTTTTCTTTCATATCACACAAGATGGATAATATTTACATCATTTTCAAATTAACTCAAATTAATTTTGTCTGAACTCAAAATATGGCAGTGGATTATCCTAGTCTATTCTGTGTTTGGGAGAGAGAAGTCTCTCAGGAATTTGGAAGCCCTGGACCACTATTTTGTACTTTTGTCACCCCTTACTGATACTGACAGTGTGACCTTGGCTGAGTCACTCTGTCACATTGAAAGTTTATAGTATTCTTCAGTAAGATGGAAATTAAAATTAGAATTTGGATGCCGGGCGTGGTGGCTCACGCCTGTAATCCCAGCATTTTGGGAGGCCAAGGCAGGTGGATCACTTGAGGTCAAGAGTTCAAGACCAGCCTGGCTAACATGGTGAAACCCCGTCTCTACAAAAATACAAAAAAATTAGCCGGGCGCGGTGGTGCGTGCCTGTAATCCCAGCTACTTGGGAGGCTGAGACAGGAGAGTCACTTGAACCCAGTAGGCAGAGGTTGCAGTGAGCTGAGATTGTGCCATTGCACTCTAGCCTGGGTGACAGAATGATACTTCAAAAAAAAAAAAAAAAAGAATTTGGTAAGGGATCAAATAGAATGAGAGTTTGAAAATGCAGAGCTCTGAAAGATGTAAATTGTTATGTAAATAGTGCCTGTTATCAGTGGTAATGATTTATGGTGTGTTTGGATTTGTGCAATAGGGCTGGGTCTTATGGGGCTTTTTGCCTCCGCAAGGTTTGCATTGCTTGCTTTCCTCTTTGTAGAACTGATGGAGAGTCTACGACAGGCGGAGCAGAAGAACTGGACCCTCGACCAGCATCACATCGCCAATCTGTGTGACTCCCTCAACCACTTCCTTACTCAGACTGGTCATGTGCCCCCCCAAGGGGGTACCCACCGGCCACCAGCCCCTGCCCGTATTGCCGACTCTTGTGCCCTCACCAGTGGCAAACAGGAGTCCGCCATGAGCCAAGGTACCGCACAAAGACAGTCGCCATGGAGGTAGAGACTGTGATGAAAAGGAAGGATAGGAGAAAGACACAAGATAACAGAGAGAAAGCATTTTATGGGCAGTGGTCCAAATTGAGCAGTCGAAGTAGTTTACCAGTTGACTACACATCTGTTGAGTCAGTGAAGTCCTAAACTGAAAAATGCGAAAGAAATACGGTATGATAGGCCGGGCGTGGTGGCTCAAGCCTGTAATCCCAGCACTTTGGGAGGCCAAGGCGGGTGGATCACGAGGTCGAGAGATCGAGACCATCCTGGTCAACATGGTGAAACCCAGTCTCTACTAAAAATACAGAAAAATTATCTGGGCATGGTGGCGCGTGCCTGTAATCCCAGTTACTCAGGAGGCTGAGGCAGGAGAATTGCCTGAACCCAGGAGGCGGAGGTTGCGGTGAGCCGAGATCGTGCCACATTGCACTCCAGCCTGGGCAACAAGAGCGAAACTCTGTCTCAAAAAAAAAAAAAAAAAAAAAAAGAAATATGGTATGATTTCTTTTTAGACCTCGGTTTGGGAGATCAGAGTTACTTAAGAAAAGGGAGGAAATTTGTTAGAGAAGGGCCCTCTTTTAAATCTGTGGCTCAGTAATCCCTAACTGGATGATACCACTTGACATGGTAGTTCTACATGTAGATGATCTCCAAACTAGTGAAATGAAAGACGTGTTGTGATTCATGTTCCTGTTCCTTGGATTTTTTTTTTTTTTTTTTTTTTTTGAGATGAGGTCTCGCTTTGTCACCTAGGCTCTGGAGTCCAGTGGCGCGATTACGCCTCACTGCGACCTTGACCTCCTGGGCTCTGCAGATCCTCCCACTTTAGCCTCCCGAGTAGCTGGGACTACAGGTGCGTGCTACCATGCCCAGCTAATTTTTTTGTATTTTGCTTAGAACTGGGATTTCACCATGTCGCCCAGGCTGTCTTCAAACTTTTGAGCTCAAGGGATCGCCCATCTCGGCTTCCCAAAGTGTTGGGATTACAGGCATGAGCCACCATACCCGGCCCTACATTTCTGTATTATTCATCCTTATATCTTAGCGATTTCACAATTGCAGTATCCATTTGTTTTTACCCTCAGTGGTGAGGACTGGTAGCTTCTGCAGAAATCCTTCAAGCCTGCAGGAGCTATAGAACAGGGCAGGGAAGAGAGAAAGAAGATGGGAACAAGGGTATATTCTTTTCCTCCCTGCTTTGTTGAGTATGGTGACCCCCCCAACCCCCCAACTCAAGTAACTCTTCTCTTCTTTGGCAGTGAACTCTTATGGGCACCCACAAGCTCCGCACCTCTACACAGGCCCATCACCAATGTACCCAATCCCCACCCAGGACTCAGCAGGCTACAATCGCCCAGGTAAGAGCCAGGAAGCTTGTTTCAAAACTGCAATAATCTGATGAGCTCTTTTGCTTTCCTTTGACTCTGAGCTGGGATTCTCTGTATTTTTGCCTGCATCTGACAGGAGGGAATGAGCCTTTATAATTCCCAAGGCTACCTGCTCTGGAGGTATATATCAGGGGAGTCTAAAGAAGACAAATTTACCTTATTTATTTCTTTATTTTAGACAGAGTCTCACTCTGTTGCCCAGGCTGGAGTATAGTGGTGGGATCTTGGCTCACTGCAACCTCCACCTCCTGGGTTCAAGTGATTCTCCTGCCTCAGCCTCCCAAGTAGCTGGGATTACAGGCACGTACCACCATGCCTGGCTAATTTTTGTATTTTTAGTAGAGATGGGGTTTTGCCATGTTGGGCAGGCTGGTCTTGAAGGACTGCAAGTGATCTGCCCGCCTCTGCCTCCCAAAGTGTTGGGATTACAGGCGTGAGCCACTGCACCCAGCTAGATGTACTTTAAAATTAGCTAGTGACTGCATAAGTAAAAGGAAGTGAAAGCATACATATAAACAAAAAATGGCTACGTGCAACATTTATGTGTGGCTTCGGAATCTAGATGGAAGATGTGCTCAGGCAAAGAAAATGAATTTGTTATCTGCACATACTTGCTTTATGTACATGTCTGCTTTTCTGTCACCTGATCTCCAAAATCAGGGGTCTGGAACTGAGCTAGCTCTGATAGTGGGGGTGAGGCAGGGAGACACCGAATTGCCATAGATAGAACAAAGTGAACAGATCCTTCACATTTAGACACATACAGAAAAATCACTGTTATTCTGCCTGAAACCACAAGTGTTTTCAATTTTCGAGGGTGACATCTGACTCTTTGTATTCTTTGTCCTTTTAATATAAATAACAAATTTCTGTACTGCTATTTCATATGATATTATCTTCTGTTTGTTTCTTTGTTTGAGTCAGAGTCTTGTTCTGTTGCCCAGGCTGGAGTACAGTGGTGGGATCCTGGCTCTCTACAACCTCCACCTCCCGGGTTCAAGTGATTCTTGAGCCTCAGCCTCCTGAGCGGATGGGATTACGGGCGCCCACCACCATGTCTGGCTAAATTTTTGTTTTTTATTAGAGGTTGGGTTTCACCATGTTGGCCAGTCTGGTCTAGAACTCCTGACCTCAAGTGATCCACCTATCTTGGCCTCTCAAAGTTCTGGGATTACAGGTGTGAGCCACTGCTCCCAGCCACATGATATTATCTTCTGTATGTTATTTTATCATTATCATATGTTTTCGGAAGTATAATTTTTTTTTTTTTTTTTTTGAGACGGAGTTTCGCTCTTGTTACCCAGGCCGGAGTGCAATGGCGCGATCTCGGCTCACCGCAACCTCCACCTCCTGGGTTCAGGCAATTCTCCTGCCTCAGCCTCCTGAGTAGCTGGGATTACAGGCACGTGCCACCATGCCCAGCTAATGTTTTGCATTTTTAGTAGAGACGGGGTTTCACCATGTTGACCAGGATGGTCTCGATCTCTTGACCTCGTGATCCACCCGCCTCGGCCTCCCAAAGTGCTGGGATTACAGGCTTGAGCCACCGTGCCCGGCCCAGAAGTATAATTTTTAATGGCAGTATAATATTTAATTGCTGTGGAATGTAGTTTAGTTTATTTCCTGAGACTTCACTCAAGTGGTGACCTGCAACCAAAAATAACTCCAGCTGATAAGGGTGGTAGCTTCACAAGCCCTTCTTTATGGTATTATCTGGGGCTGAGCACAGTCCTAGGTTGAGGGAACAGCTTCCCATCGACTCTCCTTTCACTCACTTTCTTTCTTTCTAACAGCACACCATATGGTTCCTCGGCCCCCAGGGCCACCTCCTGGTGCCAATGAGGAGATCCCTGATGACTTCGACTGGGACTTGATCACTTAGTGCATCACAGAGTGTGGACATCAGCCCAGAGCCGAGTGGTGAAGCCTGGCAGTGGGGAGAGAGCAATCCCAGCCCTTCCCTTCTCCCCACCCCCATCTGTATATAGACATATATCGTCTTTTTGTCCTTTCTCTGTCAGAGAAGCCACCGCAAGATGCTGCCGAAGATAACCCCCCTTTCCTGCCTCGTTCTTCTCTTTTCCTTCCTGTTTTTTCCCTAGTTCTTTTATTATTATTCTTATATTATTATTATTATTATTATTATTGGTTATATACTGTCCGCTGTCTCCTGTCCCTACACCATGGGTCATGTTCACCTCTTGCTAATGTAAAATCATCAGGCTGGAAGAAGAAGCCACAACAGCGACAGAGAAAGGTCTCAAACTCTGGTTTACCTTTCTCTTGGAGAAACTTAATGCTAATCCCACCTTTTGGTCCTAAATTATTTTTTTGTTCCTAAATTATTTTTTTGTTCCCTTCAGTTTCAGGCCAGGACTGGAGAGGCCACACGATCAAGTAGAAAGGGTCTGAAACATGGCTTGGCAGCCAAGAATTTGGAGATTTTTAAATGGTGCTAATTCTGTCCCCCGAGATCTTCCTTGTCCCTTTATACTGTCAATCCTGACTTCTGCCAGTCTGCGTTTCCTATCAAGGGCAAAAGCGATGATGGTGGTGCAGGAGGGCGACGCTGAAACCCTGGTGGAATCGGGGACCTGGGTGGAAGAGATGGAACATAAGTCAGTGTGAAACTGGGTGCGCTCTGCCGTGGTGCCTCTGTGTCCGTTGGCTGATTTGAGCCCATTCTCTAAGAAGATAGGATTGGTTTTAGCCCAGACTCTGCTTCTGTGGTAGGGCATGAGGACAACTATTCAGCATAGTTTTAGCTTCTTGGAGATAATTCCAACTTAACTCTTTTTTTTTTTTTTTCCTGAGATGGAGTTTCGCTCTTGTTACCCAGGCTGGAGTGCAGTGGCGCGATCTCGGCTCACCGCAACCTCCGCCTCCTGGGTTCAAGCAATTCTCCTGCCTCAGCCTCCTGAGTAGCTGGGATTACAGGCACGTGCCACCATGCCCAGCTAATTTTTGTATTTTTAGTAAAGACGGGGTTTCACCATGTTGACCAGGATGGTCTCGATCTCTTGACCTTGCGATCCACCCGTCTCGGCCTCCCAAAGTGCTGGGATTATAGGTGTGAGCCACTGCGCCCGGCTCTTTTGGCTTTTTAAAAGTATTTTTCTTTGAAAATTAATTGTGGCTCTTATTTGTATTGACGAATTATCTTCCCATCTCTTTTTCCCATTCAGCAACAATTATTTTGTCCTCCTTTGACTGTTTGCTCAAATCTTCTTTTTTTTTTTTTTTGAGACGGAGTTTCGCTCTTGTTACCCAGGCTGGAGTGCAATGGCGCGATCTCGGCTCACCGCAACCTCCGCCTCCTGGGTTCAGGCAATTCTCCTGCCTCAGCCTCCTGAGTAGCTGGGATTACAGGCACACGCCACCATGCCCAGCTAATTTTTTGTATTTTGAGTAGAGACGGGGTTTCACCATGTTGACCAGGTTGGTCTCGATCTCTCGACCTCGTGATCCACCTGCCTCGGCCTCCCAAAGTGCTGGGATTACAGGCTTGAGCCACCGCGCCCGGCCCTGTTTGCTCAAATCTTCTACCCATCTTTTTTCTTTCCTCATTTTTTCCTGAGATTCTCAAGAAAGAAAAAGTAACCCGTTATCACTCTGAGTTCTGTTGTGTCCTAAGACATGATGAGAATCTCTTCCCCACCTCTCGTAGCAGAACCAAACCTGTAGCGTTGGTGGTAGGAGGGTGAGGAGAAGAAAAGGGAGCTGGCAAAGGAACGGACAGGGAATATTTTAGTTCTTCAAATCTATAGGCAGATGCTTCTCTTGGAATCCAGATCATCTGGCTGAAGCTTTTGCAAGTGGGCTTTTGAGGGGTGAAGGAGATTGGTGGAGGAGAGTAAATAATCTAGAGGCAAGAGTTCAGTGAGGGCCAAGGGGGACCCCCAGAAAAAGGTATAGAGCTAATTCATCTACTTTTACAAGGGGTGGCCATGATTTACTGTTGCAAAGCACTCAGTGTATATTTAATGTTAATTGCTGAATTTTAGTTATGAGAGGAAAAAACAATTTTACTTCTGTCCTTATTTCACTTGCTGCAAAGCTGTGGGACAAAATGTATGGAATAGACAAGGCCACTTTCTTTGTGATTTCTGCTTTTCATTCATATTATTTTATTTACCCATGATTTCCGAGAGATTTGGCTTTCTGCTCTCCCGATTTTTTCTTTCATCCACCCCTTTCCTTTTCTTGGAAGGGGGTTATATATGAGAGTTTATTGGAGAAATCCAGTGAGGCTGAAGTAAAGGGGCAAGATGGGGCAGTTAACTAAAGAGCACTTTATTTCTTTAAAGCCTTTGTAAAAAAGAAATGGGGGTGCGAGTGGCTTGAATCTTCCATGATGCTGGAGGGCACTTAGTGGGGTTGAAGTATGATATAATATTTCCCTTTGGGGAAAGGAGAATTTCTCTTAGAGGGTGGCAAAATGCCTTTGCCCAGTGTCCCTATGTTAGGCATCTTTTCCTTCTTTATTCCTTCCAGTTAAGGTGCATCCTGCACACAACTTCCCATCAGCTCTCCCCTTTGCAAACGATCACTCCTCTTTTCTAAACCCTTTTCCTGTTCAGACCCATACAGGATTTGCAAGGGTAAACTGAATCATAACGTACAAATGCCCCTTGTTTATCTGTGTCTTCTGCAAACGAGTCTCATGAAGAATTCTGGTGTGGAGCCAGGGTAGCTGAAGTTTGGGTCTGGGACGGGAGATTGGCCATCAGGCCTCCCGAGATCCCAGCTCCCTTCCGCCAAGCTCAGTCTTGTTTCATGGCACAGGGCACACCTGACTCCCTCTGGGCCTCAGTCCCCCCGCCCCCCTGCCCATGAAGTGAAATGAATACTACTTTTCTTGTCGGTCTAGCATTGCCAGACCCGAAGCGTAGTCGTTATTGTTGTATTGGGTGACGTGTGCAAAACTGCAGGAGCTCACTGCCTGTAAGAGGAAATACGAGAGAAAGTGGAGGAGAGGGACACAGAGTAATTATCTGGTATAGATCCACCCACCCCAGCCTTTCTCTCCTCAGTCCCTGCTCCCCATGTTTCTGGTTTGGTGAGTCCTTCGTGCCACCACCTGTAATGCTTTGCATTGCTGCATCCTGGGAAGGGGGTGTCTGGTCTCACGAGTTGTTGTCATTTTTTTTTGCATGCTTTCTTAATAAAAAAAAAAAAAGAATGTTTACAGTTTTATCTTTCTGGTAGTGGTCTCAAATTTCTTTTGGCCAGGGAAGGAAAATAGAAACGTGAAAGAATTTGGTTTCAGTTGGTCTTTATTCCTCTTCCATCTTCCACCACTGGTTGAATTAGTTGACCCTGACTTTTTTTGTGATATTGATGGGAAAGAAGAATCAAAGGCATGTCTTTAACATTCTTCTTTTCAAATGATATCAAGTATGATGGAATATTGCAGGAGAGTCAGTCACCCCTTATAGGTTGGTGTATGGATTAGGCCCACCTTGCTTGCATTTTAGGATAAAGATGTAAGATATTATACTTTGGGGCCAGCATGGTGGCTCACACCTGTAATCCCAGCATTTTGGGAGACCAAGGTGGGTGGATTACCTGAGGTCAGGAGTTCAAGATCAACCTGTCCAACATGGTAAAAGGTTGGTCAGGCTGATCAACTCTACTAAAAATACCCCGTTGCTACCAAAAACACAAAATTAGCCAGTCATGGTGGCACATGCCTGTAATCCCAGCTACTTGGGAGGCTGTGGCAGAAGAATCACTTGAACCTGGAAGGTGGAGGTTGCAGTGAGCCAAGACTGTGTCATTGGACTCCAGCCTGGGTGACAAGAATGAAACTCTCTCTCTCAAAAAAAAAAAAAAAAAAAAAGATATCAGCTGGGCATGGTGGCTGACGCCTGTAATCCTAGTACTTTGGGAGGCCAAGATGGGTGAATCATCTGAGGTCAGGAGTTCCAGACCAGCCTGGCCAACATGATGAAAGTTCGTCACTACTAAAAATACAAAAATTAGCTGGGTGTGGTGGCAGGTGCCTATAATCCCAGCTACTCCGGAGGCTGAGGCAGGAGAATCGCTTGAACACAGGAAGTGGAGTTTGTGGTGAGCCAAGATCATGCCACTGCTCTCCAGCCTGGGTGACAGAGTGAGACTCCATCTCAAAAAAAAAAAAAAAAAAAAGATACTATATTTTGGACAGTAGTTGTGTTCCCACCTGGGACTTTCTGGAAAAAATAGTACAAAATAGTTACAGGTACTCACCAGGTTTTCATCAGAAATGAGGGAATTCTAATTGTAGGAATTTCTTCAGGATATATTTCCAAAGTTAATGGAAAGGAAAAGGAATCCAGAAATGCTGTGTGCATCATTTGTCTTTGCCAAAGTAACACATGCACATACTTTATTAGTATATTGGCAAAGACAGATCACTGATTGCTCATTGTACATTAAATCTTTGTAACTGTCAAGATGATTCACCTCGATATCCTATATACCAACCCCGGGAGGGGTCTTATTCCCAGGGTCTTATGTGATATGCTGGCGTTTAGGTCTTATTCCCAGGGTCTTACGTGATATGCTGGCGTTTCCAGAAGCCTGGCTAATTGCTATTATAGCAAGTCTATAGGCACTCACTAGGAGATATTTGCTGCATATTTAGAGATTATTATATATTCTGAATGTGAAACAAAAGGATTTATGAATCTGAGTCTTGCAAAGAACCATGAGAAAAAAGCATTTATTCGTATCAAATATATAAGTAAATTAATATATAAGCTGGAAAGGTAGCACCGCAAATCTTACGTCAGATATTCTTCACAACTGAAAGAATTCCTAGTGATTTGAAATTTTTCTGCGTAGTACTTTATAAACGATTTTTAGTCCAGACCCTCACCTCAACCATTGAACAAATAATAAGCAAGTCTAAAACACGTGTCATTTTCTGTTTTTAGACTACATCATCATATTCAGTTTAGATGATGCCATGTTATGATATAAATAAGCTTGACATTTCAGACTTTTAACACGTAAACGTTTATACACACAGAAAAATGAGAAGGTGGTTGGAAGTTAGGTAATTTTGTTTTAAATGAAAGAAGGACAGACAGGAAGCTATATAAATGGTTGGGGTGTATAGACAAAGTAAAAGAAAACTGTGTGGTCATGAATGAATTAAAATATAATGGTTATTAATGAATGTTGGGTCACTGGATAAACAAAAATATGGAGTGCTTGGATAAACGTCTTCACTTTTCAAAAGAAGAAGTCATTTTATCATGTCTCCAGAAAAGAGCAGCATAAGCACATGATTTAGAAACATCATGGTAATTATCAAACAAAACATCTCAAATTGTGCAAGGGTTATCTCTGGGAAATGAGAGAGGGAGGAGGGAACTTTGGGTCACAGTGAAGTAGCAGACCTCATATTTTGTTATATACCTTACTAAATTCTTTTAAAACTATGTGCATATATTACTTTGGCCAAGACAGAGATTAATTTAAAAAACCCAGAAGAAAAAAAAATAAATATATAAAAAAATAAAAAAAATAAAAAACCCAGAAGATATTTTTGGTAATTTTGGCATGAACCCTGCCTGTAGTCATGTTTTAAAATGTGACGGCAAGCTTGGTAGGGCACTCAGTTGCAGTGAGTAGAAGAATTGCTGCTTCTTCCTGCGCCCTCTTTCTCCTTCCTCTTGAAATGGATTTCTAACAAAATATTATGGAGCAAGAGGAAAGGAGTAACTAGAATCTTATGAAATTAGAGGTTGTTTGAGGCACAAAGGCTGATGCGGAAGATTTGCAGGCAGAGGAGCAATAAGGAAATTAAGTAGCTTAAGAAGAGGAATGGAAGCTAGGTGGTCAACCAGTAGGCAGATAGAATAAACAGAACTCCCCAAACCACAGCTTTCACAACATTTCATGAGTCAGTTTTTAGATGTATTAGTAGTCCATTTTTATGCAATAGATGGTTATTTAGCTGTAATAGTGGAAACTCAGAATTCCTTTTTTTTTTTTAGTTTTTTATTTTTAGTAGAAACGGGGTTTTACCATGTTGGCCAGGCTGCCCTTGAACTCCTGACCTTGTGATCCACCTGCCTTGGCCTCCCAATGTGCTGGAATTACAGGCGCGAGCCACAGCGCCCAGCCTGGAAACTCAGAATTCCTATGTCCTGTACCCAGGGATGTTCCCAGGACAGGCATCAGGCATTGTATAATTCTGTGCTCCAGACTCAGACTCATGGATTCTTGCATTCGCAGGCATTTTTTATTTTTTATTTTTTTGTACCTTCTTTTCATTTAAAACTGTCAATACCACATGACAACAAAGCTGCAGAATAAATGATCATCTTTCACTCAGGTAAGAGAAGAATAATTTTTTTTTTTTTTTTAAAGATGGGGTTTCACCATGATGGCCAGGCTGGTCTTGAACTCCTGACCTCAGGTGATCCACCCACCTCGGCCTCCCAAAGTGCTAGGATTACAGGCGTGAGCCACTGCGCCCGACCTAAGAAGAAATGGTTTTAAATGGAATCTGGGAGACTTAGACAATGCTTAGAAAAATTTAATGATGGAAACATCAATAAACAGTTAACATCAAACATTTAAAAACAGTAAATTCTTTCATTTTACACAGCTTAGTTTGGGATAGAAATAGAACTCATTTTTATAAAGATTCTTACATTTAGCATTGAGAAACAAGAGGGTTTGTTAAATGCACTTGCTGGGTCCCAATCCCGAGAGATTCCAATTCAGCAAGTCTGGGGTGGGGCTTGGGAATTTGCATTGCTATCTAGTTTCTAGGGGATGCTGATAGTCTGTGGCCACCCTTTAAGAACCACTGGATTGGCCGGGCGCGGTGGCTCAAGCCTGTAATCCCAGCACTTTGGGAGGCCGAGGCGGGTGGATCAGGAGGTCGAACGATCGAGACCATCCTGGTCAACATGGTGAAACCCCGTCTCTACTAAAAATACAAAACAACTAGCTGGTCATGGTGGCGCGTCCCTGTAATCCCAGCTACTTAGGAGGCTGAGGCAGGAGAATTGCCTGAGCCCAGGAGGCGGAGGTTGCGGTGAGCCGAGATCGCGCCATTGCACTCCAGCCTGGGTAACAAGAGCAAAACTCTGTCTCAAAAAAAAAAAAAAAAAGAACCACTGGATTGATTCTTGGACAGTTTTTGAAGTCCCCTGCTCATCCTATCTCTTCATCCTTTTAGAAATATTCATACCTAAAAAAATATATATATGTATATTCATACCTAAGAGCCCCTGCTCGCTGGCTGCTCCGTATTTTCACACGGTGGTGTCAACACTATTTCTTTCTGAAACGACGTTGTTTGAGGAACAGTGGGTAGAATGTGTGAGCTCCTCACTGAAGGCTGCCTCCAGAATGCCCTGAATGGACTGCCTTGCTTTCTTCCTAAAATCTTTCCCCAGGAGGGCATAAAGGAAGGGATTAAAGCAACTGTTGGCAGATGCTAGAGCAATGGACACATGGTCCCAAGACATCAGAGCTCCCCCCAGGGGAGTTTCTGGTTGAATAAACAGTAACAGGACTCCCATAATGTGGTATGGAGCCCAGCAGACAAGAAAGACAGTGACCACCACCACGGCCACTCGAAAGGTTTTGCCCTGAGACTTGGCGAAGCGGCCCGTTTGCATTCGGAAGACAATTAAGCTGTAACAGGTGACCATGATAGCAGAAGGCAGCAGGAAACCCACCACTAGCCTGGTGATAACTATTGCCACCATGGGTGTTGGCACTTGATTGTCATATGTGATTTGGCCTAAATAGTAATAATCCTGGAAATCTTGTTGTAGCTCAGACTCATATAAGGAATTGCTAGAAACCCTAGGAAACAGCTCTAAATGAGTAGAGAGAAAACCATCAGAGTTATCTGGTGGGCTAGTTTCATGATCTTCAATGTGGATTTTAGTTGAGACCACATCAGCAGGTTTAAATATATTAGAATATGGATTTTGAGTAGTTAATCTAGCGGAATCCCTAGGTAGTGAATCTGCAGAAGGTCTTTGAAATGTTTGAGGTTGGAGGGGAGTGGTGACTGTCCAAGGATGATCATTTGTTTGGAAAGAGGAAGGATCTAACCTATCATCCATTTCTTCAGGTAGCCGAACCATGTTTTCAAAAGACGCGTTTTTTAGTGGATCTCCATAGAAGTCTGAATAATCGAATGAGTTAAAGGGATCAAATTTGTAGCCACATATATTATGGTTGTCTATAGTGAATATTTCCCGGTATATGAACATGGGTATGCACATCACAAAAGCCACCATCCAGATACATCCACAGATAGTGAAGGCTGTCCCTACACTGCGATGATTCTGACACCAGATTGGCTTGAGTACTACAAGACAGCGGTCCAGGCTAATGGCAGTAAGCAGGAAGACACTGGCAAACATGTTGAGGACAATGATGGAGGGGATGAGCTTGCATAGGAAGCTGCCGTATGGCCACTTTCCCTGGAGAGCCAAGTGAACCAGTGAGAAGGGCAAGGAGAGGCAGCAGAGAAGGTCCGCCAGGGTGAGGTGGAGGAACCAAACTGTGTTCACTGTCCGTTTCATCTTCAGGCCAGCCACCCACAGCACCAGCCCATTGCCTGGCAATCCCAATATGAAAGTGAGGCTGAGAATGACCATGGAGAGAATTTCTGGGGGCTTACTCCACTGCTGTAAGAGTAGGTCAGTTGAATTGATCTCAGCAGAGAAAGACTCCATTGGTAAACTTCTGCAAACAGATGAGAAAAAAAAATGTTAAAATGAATGGTATCTTTTTGAAAATGCATACGTATTCTTAGGATTCTAACCTTCCCACGTAAAGATGTGGAACCGTGAAAAACCATGGAGGCCCTCACGCTTTTTTAGTTTGCCTTCGTTTACCTCACACTGGACCACACAAAAGCATCCTCTCATAGACATTTTGTTGATTTATTTATTATTTCTTATTTTTTAGATAGAGATGGAGTTTTGCCATGTTGGCCAGGCTAGTCTTGAACCCCTGCCCTCGAGTGATCTGCCCGCCTCTGCCTCCCAAAGTGCTGGGATTATAGGTGTGGGCCACCACACCAGTCCTATGATAGACAATTTAAAATCTACCATATTGATTTATGTGTGTATCAAAATCACAGTCTCATCTGGAAGTCTGTATCAGTGCAAATTTCTCCACGTGCTTGAACTTTCAATCTTGGTTTTTCCACTGGCTCCTTCCCTCACTTAGTGTGTTTGAAAATAAACAAATAAGCTAAATAAGTAAACAAAAACATCTAGATTGGAAGTATCCAATTGAGGTCATGAAAGGGTTTTAGGAAGCTCCGTCACCACCTAAAATGATATGCAAAACTTCAACTTTATATATTCTCATTTTCTGAGACCAGAAGCTTCATCCGCTCCCCCCACCATATTTTCAGAGGACTCACTGCCACAGAAAGAGGTACTCTAGACTCAGTGATGTCTTTTAGACACAACCCTATCTCATTTTGTTATCAAATTTTCCAAGAATTGTTGGCCCTCTGCATTGACTTCCACAGCACCCATCATTCCTTTCTTATTTATTTGTTTTATAACTTGGGAAAAAGAGTTTTATTATTACAAAACAGAAAATATGCATGAACAAAATTGGAAAATATACACAAACAAAAAGGAAAATAAAAATATATTCACTAGTCAGTGATTATTATTTCAGCACCTGAATTTATATTATCTGGACTTTTTTTTTTTTTTTTTGAGACAGAGTTTCGCTCTTGTTACCCAGGCTGGAGTGCAATGGCACGATCTCGGCTCACCGCAACCTCCGCCTCCTGGGCTCAGGCAATTCTCCTGCCTCAGCCTCCTGAGTAGCTGGGATTACAGGCACGTGCCACCATGCCCAGCTAATGTTTTGTATTTTTAGTAGAGACGGGGTTTCACCATGTTGACCAGGATGGTCTCGATCTCTTGACCTCGTGATCCACCCACCTCGGCCTCCCAAAGTGCTGGGATTACAGGCATGAGCCACCGCGCCCGGCATCTGGACCTTTTTTTCACGTGTGTGTGTGTGTGTGTGTATTTATGTACATGTATCTTTAGTCAGAGAGGACTATGATGGCTAGAAGCCTTGTAATATGTGGGACAGTGCTTTGTTTATTTACTATAATTTTTGAGATGGAGTTTTGCTCTTGTCGCCAAGGCTGGAGTGCAATGGTGCCATCTTGGCTCACTGCAACCTCCACCTCCTGGGTTCAAGCCTCCCAGTAGCTGGGATTAAAGGCATCTTCCACCATGCCCAGCTAATTTTTGTATTTTCAGTAAAGATGGGGTTTCACCAAGTTGGCCAGGCTGGTCTTGAACTCCTGACTTCAGGTAATCTACCTGCCTTGGCTTCCCAAAGTGCTGGGATTACAGGAATGAGCCACTGCCCCTAGTCTATGATGATGATGATGATTATTTTATTTTTTATTTATTTATTTTTTTGAGATGGAGTTTCGCTCTTGTTACCCAGGCTGGAGTGCAATGGCGCGATCTCGGCTCACCGCAACCTCCGCCTCCTGGGTTCAGGCAATTCTCCTGCCTCAGCCTCCTGAGTAGCTGGGATTACAGGCACGCGCCACCATGCCCAGCTAATTTTTTGTATTTTTAGTAGAGGCGGGGTTTTCACCATGTTGACCAGGATGGTCTCGATCTCTCGACCTCGTGATCCACCCGCCTCGGCCTCCCAAAGTGCTGGGATTACAGGCTTGAGCCACCGCGCCCGGCCCCCAGTATTTGTCTTTTTATGCCTGGAGTATATTTCACTTAGCACAATGTCTTCAAGCTTCCTCCATGTTGTGGCATGGGTCAGAATTTTCTTCCTTTTTAAGGCTGAGTAATATTCCATTGCCTGTATATACCTCATTTTGTTTATGCAGTCATTTGGTGGAGGACATTTAGATTGCTTTCACCTTTTGGCTATTGTGAATTACGCAGCTATGAACATGGGTGTAAATGCATATTTTTTTTTTTTTGAGACCGAGTTTCGCTCTTGTTACCCAGGCTGGAGTGCAATGGTGCGATCTCGGCTCACCGCAACCTCCGCCTCCTGGGTTCAGGCAATTCTCCTGCCTCAGCCTCCTGAGTAGCTGGGACTACAGGCATGTGCCACCATGCCCAGCTAATTTTTTTGTATTTTTAGTAGAGACGGGGTTTCACCATGTTGACCAGGATGGTCTCGATCTCTTGACCTCGTGATCCACCCGCCTCAGTCTCCCAAAGTGCTGGGATTACAGGCTTGAGCCACCGCGCCCGGCCCATATTTTTTTATAAAACATAAAATTTTTTATTTTTTCAATTAGCAGTCTCCACGTTACACAATATGTACCTTAAGGAATATCTAGCCTTTATCTGTTTTGCTTTCGTTTGTAGAGATGTGGTCTTGCTATGTTGCTCAGGCTGGTCTCCAACTCCCGGGATCCAGTGATTCTTCCTCCTTGGCTTCCTGAAGTGCTGAGATTATAGGCATGAACCACCATGCCCTGCCTTTTATCTGATTATTTTTCAACTGTCCCTAAGACATCTTTTGTAGTTGGCTTGTCAGCCTGGTGTGGTGGCTCATGCTTGTAATCCCAGCACTTTGGGAGGCCAAGGCAGGCAGATCACCTGAGGTTAGAAGTTAGAGACAAGCCTGACCAACATGATGAAACCCTGTCTCTACTAAAAATACAAAAAATTAGCCGGGCATGGTGGCGCACACCTGTTATCCCAGCTACCTGGGAGACGGAGGCACAAGAATGCTTGAACTGGAGAGGCAGAGTCTGCAGTGAGCTGAGATTGCACCTTTGCACTCCAGCCTGCATGACAGAGTGAGACTCTATCTCAAAAAAAAAAAATTGCTTGAATAGATGGATGCCCATTTTAGGGGTTGACTTTTTTTCTTTTGCAATGAAATCTAAAATTCTAATTTATATGCATTTAATCCTTACTTAGGCCTCTTCCATAATTCCCATGCTGTCCCTTTTTACCTTCTTTTTGTTAAATTCCTAATTTTTACTGGATGGAATAACACTTTGCATTTATTTTTACAGAGGCTCAAAATATTTTTTTGTGACTTGAAAGTAGTTCTGCTGAGTCAACCAAATATTGTCATAGAGCCTTATATGATTAGCAGAAGTTAAAATAACAAGTCAACAAAATAAAAAAGAAGAAATGATTCCTATTCCCCTTTTTATGGCCTTGTCTACTCAGATATTTATTTAAATCCTATCAAGGTAACTTCCTAAAATATTCAGAGAAGGATAGAGTCCTAGGACGCTGGGACTGAAAGAAAACTTTGAAATCATCTCTCCTCTCTACATTTTCTTTTTCTTTTTTCTTTTTCTTTTTATTTATTTTTTATTTTTTTAAAGACGGGGTTTCACCCTGTTGGTCAGGCTGGCCTTGAACTCCCAACCTCAGGTGATCCGCCCGCCTTGGCCTCCAAAGTGCTTGGATTACAGGCGTGATCCACCACACCTGGCCCCTACATTTTCTTTTTCTTGTCATTGTTTGTTCATTTGTGGAGACAGAGTCTTGCTATGTTGTCCAAGCTGCTTTCAAACTCCTGGACTCAAGCAATCTTCCTTCCTTAACCTCAGAGCAGGCGTCCCCAGACTATAGCCTTCGGGCCGCATGCGGCCCCCTGAGGCCATTTATCTGCCCCCCCGCTGCACTTCAGGAAGAGGCACCTCTTTCATTGGTGGTCAGTGAGAGGAGCACAGTATGTGGCGGCCCTCCAACGGTCTGAGGGACAGTGAACTGGCCCCCTGTGTAAAAAGTTTGGGGACACCTGCCTCAGAGTGTGCTGGGATTACTGATGTGAGCCACTGCACCCAACCTACACCCTCTCAGCTTTTACTTCTCAAGTTTGACAGTGAAACTTAGCAAATTAGATTCCTTTCATATAATAATTATTAAGGAGGATCTTGGATTTTAGCTCCAATGACTGTTAGGCCAATGCTCTTTTTACTACCAAATAAAAAAAAAAATTACATAAAAAAAAAAGATATATGGTAGGCTGGGTGCAGTGGCTCACAGCTGTTGTCCTAGCACTTTGGGAGGCTGAGGCTGGCGGATCATGAGGTCAGGAGATCAAGACCATCCTGGCTAACACGGCGATACTCTGTCTCTACTAAAAATACAAAAAATTAGTGGAGCATGGCTCATGCCTGTAGTCCCAGCTACCTGGGAGGCTGAGGCAGGAGAATCACTTGAACCTGGGAGGCAGAGGTTGTAGTGAGCCCAGATCACACTGCTGCACTCCAGCCTGGGCTTTAGAGTGAGGCTCCGTCTCAAAAAAAAAAAATAAAAAGGAAGATTTATGGTATTGCTGATAAAGGGGAAGCTGCCAAGAACTGCATGAATTGAAGTAGCAGGGACTACAAACAGTGACATTTCTTTTTTTTTTTTTTTTTTTTTTTGAGACGGAGTTTCGCTCTTGTTACTCAGGCTGGAGTGCAATGGCACGATCTCGGCTCACCGCAACCTCCGCCTCCTGGGTTCAGGCAATTCTCCTGCCTCAGCCTCCTGAGTAGCTGGGATTACAGGCACGCGCCACCATGCCCAGCTAATTTTTTGTATTTTTAGTAGAGACGGGGTTTCACCATGTTGACCAGGATGGTCTCGATCTCTTGACCTCGTGATCCACCCTCCTCGGCCTCCCAAAGTGCTGGGATTACAGGCTTGAGCCACCGCGCCCGGCCTAACAGTGACATTTCAATAAAAATAAATGGAGTTATCTGGCATGAGCTATATATTAAATATCGCATATTATTTGTTTTGAAATGAAAGTATGTATGAGTCAGGGATTAAAAGTTCTTCAGAACAAGGCTGGGTACAGTGGCTCATGCCTGTAATCCCAGCACTTTGGGAGGCCAAGGTGGGCGGATCACCTGAGGTCAGGAGTTCAAGACCAGCCTGGCCAACATGGTGGAATGCTGTTTCTACTAAAAATACAAAAAAAAAAAAAAAAAAAAAAAAAAAAATTTAACTGGGTGTGGTAGCACATACCTGTAATCACAGCTGCTCAGGAGGCTGAGGCAGGAGAATCACTTCAACCTGGGAGTCGGAGGTTGCAGTGAGCCAAGATTGTGCCACTGTACTCCAGCCTGGGCAACAGAGTGAGATTCTGTCACAAAAAAGAGAGAAAAAAGTCTTTCAGAACAAGATTACTTTTTACATTGCTTTAAGTTAATTTGGCTAAAAAGTACCACACCTTTATGTTTAAGATTAGTAGAGGATTAAAAAAATTATTACTAAATTGACCAGCAGTAATTTAATGATAATTAATATCCTGAAACTAAAATTCCACTATGATAGGGAAAGAAAAGTGGACCCCAGAATCAAATTGTAATAATAGGATAACAGAGTCAGTAGCAGTAAGGAACGGGCAAAAGAATTAAAAAAAGAAGGCCGGGCGCGGTGGCTCAAGCCTGTAATCCCAGCACTTTGGGAGGCCGAGGCAGGTGGATCATGAGGTCAGGAGATCAAGACCATCCAGGTCAACATAGTGAAACCCCGTCTCTACTAAAAATACAAAAAACTAGCTGGGCGTGGTGGCGCGTGCCTGTAATCCCAGCTACTCAGGAGGCTGAGGCAGGAGAATTGCCTGAACCCAGGAGGCGGAGGTTGCGGTGAGCCGAGATCACGCCATTGCACTCCGGCCTGGGTAACGAGAGTGAAACTCCGTCTCAAAAAAAAAAAAAGAATTAAAAAAAGAAAAGAAAGAGAAAGGGAAAACAAGGGCAATCAATGATTTGAAAAACAAACTAATGGGGACAGGTAGAATCAAAGTTCAGGGGAAATACATCGCCAATTCAAAGGCAGGAAAGAAATGACATAAAATTCACTATTAATTGCACTACGAAATATTAAAAGCAAAGACAAACGAAAGGTGGAATAGTTAGAAAAAGAAAGGTAGACATAGAGACAAGACAAAAGAATTGAAAATCGGAGAAGGAATAAGGGAGATAGAAGATAATGACCCTTAAACTCATGACTTATAATGAGCAAAGCAGGTTAAGAGCAAGTCCGCAGGTGGATCTAGATTTTCTTACCAAAGAGCTGAGACAGTAGCTGAAGCCTTCAGCACCTGGATGTTACCACGAGTCCTGCCTGGTCCCCAAACTTAGCCACAATGAAGTCATGAAGTATGACAAGAAAATGTGCTGAGTTTTCTCTCCTTCTTTCCTTCTCCGTTTCTGGCAACAAATTAAGCCTTATGCTCTAGACCACATCTGACTTCACGGGAAGTGTTTCAAAGTGAGTCATTTCTAAATGACTTAGAAAGGAAAAGCAGAAAAACAGAAGTAGGAGGTTATAATTCTGGGACATGTTCGGCAGCACACAGAGAATGATTAGAGAGAGAGGATACTTCTATACATAGGCTTCTAACTTTGTAGGTTTTGTTTAGAAATGCAAAAAAAAAAAAAAAAAAAAAAATGACTCTATGAGATGTGAGGGTTGGGGTGGGGAGAAATGACCGGAACAAAACCCATTTAATTAATGTCAAGTAACATCTCCTAAATGCTTGATATATGTGAAAAACGGTGCCATGCCAAAATCAGGATGAACTAAGCTGTATTGTAATCTCCAAAGATTCACAGTTGAGTGGGAATATGCACCCAAATACATACGCACGAAACTGTAATACAACCCAGACTGTAATAATAGAAGTAACAATAGAAGTAAAATAGTAGAACACGCTAGGCAGGGGTATTTATAACCCAGGGCAATCTAGGGAAGTCTTAAGATAGAAATAAGATGTGGGCAAGTCCTTGAGTACCTGGAAGACTTTGAGAGACAGGAAAGGGTGGCTGAGCGTGGTGGTTCACGCCTGTAATCCTAGCACTTTGGGAGGCTGACGTGGATCACTTGAGGCCAGGAGTTCAAGACCAGCCTGGCCAACCTGGTGAAGGCCTGTCTCTGCTAAAAATACCAAAAATTTGCTGGACATGGTGGTGGGTGCGTGTAGTCCCAGCTACTCAGGAGGCTAAGATGGGAGAATCACTTCAACCCAGGAGACAGTGTTGTAGAGAGCTGAGATGGCATCACTGCACTCCAGCCTGGGTGGCCGAGTGAGACTCCATCTCAGAAAAAAAGAAAAAAAGAAAAAAAAGAAAAAAGAATAAAAAAGGAAAAGGTGAGAAGCCGCTTAGCTTCTAAGAGGAGCCTATTCAAAGGCGGGTAGACGGGAGAGGGCAGGTGGGTGTTATTAGTGGGCACTGAGGAACAGGCTGGAGTCTAGGCGGTGTTTCATCAGAAAGGAGTACAGAGGACTGAAGATGATTCTTGCTTAATGAATATGCTGTTAATAATTTTTAAAAATTGTACTTTGGGCTCTGGGGTACATGTGCAGGTCCTGCATCCTGCAGGATTGTTGCATAGGTACATACATGCCATGGCGGTCTCCATCCCCACCCCGTCACCTACATCAGGCGTTCCTCCCAGTGATCTCCCTCCTCATCCTCCCTGCTCCCACCACTGTCCCCACCCCCCCACGCTCCACCTACTCCTGTGAGTGTTGTTTCCTTCCCGGTGACGAAGCGTTCTCACTGTTCGTCTTCTATGAATGAAAACATGCAGCGTTTGGTTTTCTGTCTTGTGTTTGCTGAGAATGATGGTTTCTAGATTCATCCACGTCTCTACAAAGGACATGAACTCGTTTTTTTTTTTTTTTGTTTTTTTTTGTTTTTTTTTTAAGACTGACTGAATTCAACAAGTATTTATTGAGTGCCTATTACGTGCTAGATACTGTTCCAGGTACTTGAGACACACCAGAGAACTAAACCAAGAGCCCTGCCCTCGTGGGGCTTCCAGTCTAGCATTTATTGCCAGTTCACCTGCAGGCTACCTGGGTCCTGAGGCAAGTCACTGCACCTCTGTGCTTGGGTCCTCAGCTGCCCAATGGGAGAATAAGCAGACTTGGCTCAGACTGGATAACGTGCCTGGTGTACTGTAGATGCCAAACTGGATACCCTCAACCCACCACCCAGACAGTAGATAGGGCTGGAAGTTGATTTTTTTTTTTTATTGCATTTTAGGTTTTGGGGTACATGTGAAGAACATGCAAGATTGTTGCACAGGTACACACATGGCAGTGTGGTTTGCTGCCTTCCGTCCCCTCACCTGTATCTGTCATTTCTTCCCATGCTATCTCTTCCCACCTCCCCACCCCCTCGTCCCTCCCCCATTTCCCCCCAACAGACCCCAGTGTGTAGTGCTCCCCTCCCTGTGTCCATGTGTTCTCATTGTTCAACACCCACCTATGAGTGAGAATATACGGTGTTTGATTTTCTGCTCTTGTGTCAGTTTGCTGAGAATGATGGTTTCCAGGTTCATCCAAGTCCCTACAAAGGACGTGAACTCATCGTTTTTGATGGCTGCGTAATATTCCATGGTGTATATGTGCCACATTTTCCCTATCCAGTCTATCATCGTTGGGCATTTGGGTTGGTTCCAGGTCTTTGCTATTGTAAACAGTGCTGCAATGAACATTCGTGTGCACGTGTCCTTGTAGTAGAATGATTTATAATCCTTTGGATATATACCCAGTAATGGGATTGCTGGGTCAAATGGGATTTCTTGGAAGTTGATTTTTAATGATAAAGTACAAGGGAGGGAGGGCAGCGGGGCTAAGCCAAGCTGTCTGGGGTACGGTGGTGGTGGGGGGCTGGCTACACAAACTGCTGCAGCTGCTTGGTGGCCGCCTTGCTGGCGAGATCCTTGACCTTCTCTGTAGCTGCCAGTGTCTTCTCCTTTGCCTTCTCCTTGGCTTCCTTGGCTGTCTCAAGTGTTTTGGAAGGGGCCTCACCTTGCAGCTTCGCCAAGATACATTCAAAACCCTTCATAGTCTTGGTCACGTTGCCTTTGAACCGGGCAAGACCAAATTCCTGGACAGCTCTGGAGACACCAAATAAGCTAGAGGAGACCCAGGCTTCACCGCGGATTTGGGTCCAGCCACTGCTGTCAGAGTTCACACAGCAAACACGTGGTTCGTCCACCACCATCAGCCGGGCGTGGTTGATGTCCCAGGTGAAGGTGGTCATGGTCTCATTCTGTGGGTCCACAGCAGAGTCCTCCAGGATGTACCCCGAGCGAGCAGCACTGGCAGGAGACAGTCGCTCGGCCCAGCGGGGCACCCTGTTGGTCGTGGTCGGGGGTCGCCGGGACCGCAGCTTCTGGTCAGGGGTCACCTCCCGGTGTACTGTGTCTTCCGTCAAGACATGTTTGCTGTAGGGGTTCGGGTACCGCTGCCAGAAGGCGGCGAACACTTGGCCCCAGGAACTCCGGAGCACGCTCTGGCCCAGGAAACACTTCACCATCGTCCCGGCTGGAGCGGGCTCAGCACCCACGCGGGCCGGGGCTCGGTGCACGCCCGCCGCCAGGCTGGTAGCTCAGTCACCACCGCACCGCGCCCAAGCAGCTGCCACCGCCGCCATGAGTTGTCCGGCTGGGCGCCACCGACCTCGTTGTTTTTTATGGCTGCATCGTATTCCACGGTGTGTATGTGCCACATTTTTCTTTGTCCAGTCTATCGATGGGCATTCGGGTTGGTTCCAGGTCTTTGCTGTTCTTAGAATGACATTGATTTGCCCAGTGTTTTCCTTTTTTATACATCAAGGACATACACCAGGATCCTTACGCTTCCACGTATTTGCAGTCCTCGTTTTAAGATTTTATTCCTTATATTTTTTTTGAGACGAAGTCTTGCTCTGTCACCCAGGCCGGAGTTGCAATGGTGCGCTGTCGGCTCACTGCAATCTCCGCCTCCCGGGTTCAAGCGATTCTCCTGCCTCAGCCTCCCAAGTAGCTGGGATGACAGTAGAGATGGGGTTTCACCATGTTGGTCAGGCTGGTCTTGAACCCCTGACCTTGTGATCTGCCCGTCTCCGCCTCCCAAAGTGGTGCTGTTATGGGGATTAGCCACACCTGGCTCTGCATTACTTTTTTGAATGTCCAAATTGCCCAAAATTAAAAGAAGATCCTGCAAAATGAGACATATTTTTTCCCACTTTGAGTCCTTTGATGGCCTGGGCCAAAAGGGTGACCTTGGGCAGGTATCCTCCAATACCATGACAAGCCTTCATGAACTCTGCAAGATTTGCCTTTCCTCTAAGGGGCCTAAGAGCCGCCCCACAGTCAGCCTTTGCATTATCATATGCAAGAAGTTGTGTGAGCAGGTCTTGGGCGCACCTGTCCGAGACAGCCTTCTTTATTGCCTCCTGAAGTCAGGCAATAAAATCAGGATAAGCCTCTTTCGGTCCTTGGCAGACAGAAGTGACAAAAGGATACTCCCCCACTCCGCCCCCACACCCCGTAACATTTATGCTCTCCCAAGCCCCTAAAGAGACTAGGCGCAGTTGATTAACAACCTCATCTCCCATGGCAATTTCATGATCGAGTCAGCCCCAGACAGGGCCAGTTCCCGTCAACTGATCAACAGTGACAGAGGGATGGGGGGCCGCGCCTGTGCGTTCCATCTTGCTTCGGTCCTAGCCTTAAATCGTATGAACTGAGTAGGAGTAAGAACATATTTTGCTAGCGTGTTCCAATCCTATGGAACTAGCCTATCATCAAAAGGCACATTTTTAGTATCTTTTGTAAAACGGTGAATTTGGGCCATATGGACTGATGGCCGGTTTAAACTCTTTTAGCAATTGAAACAAAAAAGTTATGTTTTGACCCTGTTGTTGAGCTATGGTTACTGGAAGCTGCCACGCCTCACTACATCCTTCAGCCCTGGCCTTCTGAATCGTGGCTTCTGGAGGACTCTCCGCAGGACCCGGAGGCCTCGAAGCAACGACCCACCCGCGCTGCGCATTTTGCAACCGTTTCATTTTTCCTGTCTACTAAATGTGCAGGAGGAGGTGGCCATTTGCTAACCTCAGCAGGCAGAGCAGAAGGACGAGTGAAAAGATACTTGTTTCTGTTTTTCTGTCTCCTCTCTTACTTCCTCTTTCTCTAAGTCCTCTGGCTCTGATTCTAAGAATAAACTTTGACATTTCTCATCCTCCTCCGACTCAGCTTCATCCTGTTTGAAATGGCTCAAGAGCAGTTTTAAGAAGGGCCCAAATAGACTAAACTGGTATTGGGATCTTACCTCCCTCTTTGAAAGCCTTTTTTTTTTTTTTTAGATCCCTGCCAATTCTTTCCCGTTCTTCCATAGTTCCTTGTTCTGGACACCACGGGTAAAATTACCCAATTGTATTAAACAGCAACAGCAAATTCTGAGTTCTTCCCTCCACTCCGCACTTTTTAAACAGTTGTCTTAACACACTCAAATAAGCCTTATGCTTACTTTCACCCTGACCTATAGTTACCCTGCTCTTCCGAAGCGCTCAGTTTACCCGCAGAGCTTCTTTGTTTAGTCCTCGGGTGTCCTTTGTCAGTGGGTCCTCAGTTTTCACCTGCTGGAGCGTTTCTTCACTTCGATCGCCCCACGTTGGGCACACAAAACACTCGGGTCCAGCCCTAACACAGGCCGTGGGGGTTCAATAATTCTTTTTTTTTTTTTTTTTTTTGGGATGGAGTTTCGCTCTTGTTACCCAGGCTGGAGTGCAATGGTGTGATCTCGGCTCACCGCAACCTCCGCCTCCTGGGTTCAGGCAATTCTCCTGCCTCAGCCTCCCGAGTATCTGGGATTACAGGCACGCGCCACCATGCCCAGCTAATTTTTTTTGTGTTTTTAGTAGAGACGAGGTTTCACCATGTTGACCAGGATGGTCTCGATCTCTTGACCTCGTGATCCACCCGCCTTGGCCTCCCAAAGTGCTGGGATTACAGGCTTGAGCCACTGAGCCCAGCCCAATAATTCTTATATTATTCTTTGAGATATATGTATATAAAAAAGTTTATTTGCGTCAAATGTATTTGCACACTGTGGTCTGTGATAAAGGCTTCAGTCCATATTAATCAGCTTGTCCACACTATAACATCTGCTCCTCCTCTTCCTTGCAGCCAGGTCACCACGGAATATTTTTGAGGCAGAAAGGCCAAAAGAAAGATGACAAGAGTTAAGTTGTATTCATTAGTTTATTTTCATTGTCACCATCTAATTACAAAAATAGGACACACTTTGCTCTAGAAAAGGTAAATTGAAATGATACAGAAGTATAATTGGTTAAAAAAATGCAAGTTTTTTTTTTTTTAATTCCATTGCCAGAAGTAACTATTTTTAATAGGTTAGTGTTCATTCTTTCTGAACTTTGATCTTAATATAGCACACATTTTATTTGTTTGTTTGTTTGAGACACGGCCTCACTCTGTCACCCAGGCTGGTGTGGAGTGGCATGATCTTGGCTCACTGCAACCTTTGGCTCCTAGGTTCAAGCAATTCTCCCACCTCAGCTCCTTAGTAGCTGGGACTATGAGCATGTGCCACCACACCTGGCTAAATTTTGTATTTTTTGATAGAGACAGGGTTTTGCCATGTTGGGCAGGCTGGTCTTGAACTCCTGACCTCAAGTCATCTCTCTACTTTTGCCTCCCAAAGTTCTGGGATTGTAGGTGTGAGCCACTGCACCCAGCCTAACACACTTTTTTTTTTTTTTTTTTGAGATGGAGTTTCGCTCTTGTTACCCGGGCTGGAGTGCAATGGCGCGATCTCGGCTCACCGCAACCTCCGCCTCCTGGGTTCAGGCAATTCTCCTGCCTCAGCCTCCCAAGTAGCTGGGACTACAAGCGTGCGTCACCACGCCCAGCTAATTTTTGTATTTTTAGTAGAGACAGGGTTTCACCATGTTGACCAGGATGGTCTCAATCTCTTGACCTTGTGATCTACCCTCCTCAGCCTCCCAAAGTGCTGGACCGTGCCCGGCCCAACACACATTTTTTTTAAAGGTAGTTTTGAACAAAAATGAGATCATAATTCATGTGTGATTTTATGACTTGCCTTTTTACTTAACAATATATCAAAACATATTTCCATGTTAGTGCATATAACTCTATTGAATATTTTGGGTTTTCTTTCCTCCAATGTTTGGAAATATTTAAAAAATAGATATTCAGAAAGCATATAAAAGACCAGGCACGGTGGCCCACACCTGTAACCCCAGCACTTTTGGAGGCTGAGGTGGGCAGATCAAGAGGTCAAGAAATTGAGACCATCCTGGCCAACCTAGTGAAATCCCTGTCTCTAATGAAAATACAAAAAATTAGCTGGGCATGGTGGCACATATCTGTAGTCACAGCTACAGTGAGCCAAGATCGTGCCACTGCACTCCAGCCTGGCAACAGAGCAAGATTCTGTCTCAAAAAAAAAACAAAAAAAACAAAAAAACAAAGAAAGCATATAAGGGATAGGATTATCATATATGTACATGTATAGCTAATTAAAATATATTTTATAAAAGCAATTAGTTCCCCATGGTAAAAAAGATGAGAAGATTAAAGTAAAAACCAAAATGTCCTAAACACCTAGCTATCGTTTTTCCGCTTTCCAGATGTAAGTTCTCACATAAATTTGCATATTCCACTATGGGTATTGCCTTGTTCTGCTTTTTCCACTTACCATTTTATGTCAGGACATCCTGGCCCCAGTCATACTTGTTTTTTTTTTTTTTTTTTTTTTTTTGAGATGGAGTTTTGCTCTTGTTGATCTGGCTGGAGTGCAATGGCGTGATCTTGGTTCACTGCAACCTCCACCTCCTGAGTTCAATTGATTCTCTTGCCTCAGCCTCCCAAGTAGCTGGCCAGGCTGGTCTTGAACTCCTGACCTCAGGTGATCTACCTGATCTCCCAAAGTCCTGGGAGTACAGGCATGAGCCACCATGCTCTGTCCCAAATTCTGCTTTTTAAATGCCTCCATATTATTCCATTTAATCAACTACTTTTCTGTTGAATATTATTTTTATCCAATTTTAAATGATTATAAACAAAATGGAATGAGCACTATTGTATTTACATGTATTCTGTAGAATAGAGTTTTAGAATTGGAATTGCTAAATCTAAGAGCATGTACATTTAACATTTTTGAAAGATACAGAATTTTCCACCAAGGAGACTCCATACTGCTACACTAAGTTCAGTACCAAGGCATTTTCAGGGAAAAGCATGAGCACATATTAAGGGGGAGGTGAGCCCAATACAAATAAATAGCACAGGCAAATTGCTTTGGTAGAAGTAAAAAGAGTATTGTAAGGACTAAGGGAGGGCAGGTAGAAAGCCTGGGTTTGAGTCTCAACTCTGCTACTTACTAGTTGTATCACTGAAAAGAAGTTGGAGCTGGGCGCGGTGGCTCATGCCTGTAATCCCAGCACTTTGGAGGCCGAGGCGGGTGGATCAAGAGATCGAGATCATCCTGGTGAACATGGTGAAACCCCGT